GTCACTTTCGCGATGCACGTTCCCTTATCCGCCACCTTGAGACGCGCCCTGCAAGATGTCACCTCTTCATAACTTTACCACTTCCCAGGGTGGTCCTCGCAGAAGCTAACTCTCAATTCTTTTCATAGCAAAGTGGTTGGAGTAAGCGATCTACAGGGCCTCTCACTGGTGTCGACGCTCCATGAAGCGTGGGGCAACTATTCCTTCCGAAAGTATGTGTTGCCTCCTTGTTGAACACTATGGATTTCAGTCTCAAGTCTCCCCTCGTTATCTCGCTGGCATCCTGGCGCTGCTCTATGCCCCATCCTGCGTTTTAAGTAGTTCTATCCTCTGACGCCGAGCCTCGGGTAACTCTGGCCTATAAGACCGTTGTATTCCTGTCCTTTCGGACCCTGATCATGCAGCCGTAGGGACCCTCGACTTTCAGTGGTCCTCCACCAAGCCTTGCATATGGACCTTAGACTGTTATCCTGTGAGGTTCGGGAGGTGCCTCATAGGGAGTTGCAGTAACGGTTGACCTTCTCACGCACTTCTCGGCGCATTTTTTAAGAATTAAAAAATTAATTTTATCTCTCATTGTATTCTAATTAAAGGTCTCAACGAAAGGAATTAATTTCTGCCACCCATAACCCTCCTCCTTAACCTCTTATCGTGATCCCCTGATCATAGGAAATGCCTGTAGGTAATATGGAAATTCTCCGATACAAGTAACTGTTATTGGAAGTTTATCCACTGATAGTAATTTTCGGTATTTTGTGTGCTGACTAAACTCCACCTTTACCACGTTTAATGATTAATTTGGCCTAACCTAAGATCTCGTCTGACAGTTTACAAATCTTTATGCTCCATTTTACTACATTTTTATTAGTTAAAGTACCTACACACTAAAAACGCATATAAAATTATTACATTACTAATACATTTAAGACCCAATCTATATAAATAGACGTTAGTCTCAGTCGATTACATATATTTGTTTATCATCTTAATTAAAATACTTAAAAAATAAATGCAAGTTAGCTGATACGCCAGCGATTGATATGGAATACCCGAATGGTTACACAAATTTTCCCTGCACAATCTGCACTTGGTCACGTGGTGAGTAGCCGATGGTGAGTCACATTCGTTACCAGTCGACTTGTAAAGGCACTGCAAGGTTAGATTCGTTCCGAGAGAACCTAAAAGAAAAAAAAATTTTAATATTTTTAAACCTTTATCTATTTTTTTAATTGCAGCGGAAGTAGTTAGCGTTACTCATAGCACAGATAGTATTTTGTCTATGGCCATAGCAAGCCTACAACTCTGAATCGGAATAGTCTAAAATCGGCCTCAAGTGGCTATCGTATAAGAGAAACTTGTAATAAGTACACGTTTTGAAGCAATTTTTTTAGTTTCTTCGAAATTTGGGAATTCTGCAAATCTTCAAATGGTTGTGTCCATTTTTCGGATTCATCAAATTCTTCCGGTTTTAGAACTTCCATAACTTCATTTAGAATCTTTAAAATATTCTTAGAAACTCCTCAATATCATCTATATACCTAGGGTCTTTAGAGCCCTTAGCATCTTTAAAACGGCCAAAAGCACCAGATACCTGAAACTGTTCTTAGACTCGTCTTAGGACGGTCCTCTTGTCAGGCTCTTAGAATCATCTTTTAGAGTTTTCTTGAAATCTTTTTAGAATATTCTTAAAACCTTGTTAGGATCTTCTTAGAATCTCCATAGAATGATATTCAAACAATCTACGCAAGATATGCATAAGTCTATTTGGCCCTCTTTCCCGGTAACCCCCCCTCTCCCAGTCATTGTTCAATTCTGCTGGGCAATGCGCCCTTTCTAGTATATACTTGTAATTATTGAATTTCGGCGGCTCACATTTGGAGTTTCTTTCGAATTTGTTGCAGTGCATAAGAAACAAGATACAAAGAATCGCAAAGGTTTGACATTCCTGCCTATTTTCGTTGTAGACTTAGACGAGGAACAGACGGACAGAGAAACAGACGGACGGACAAAACCATCAAATAAAATGAGACAGCATGCAGTACGTAAAAGTAACAAGTAGTGATACGGAACCGTACCTAGACCGTGCAAGATCGCGTTACCACCTGGCGGTTACGTTGGGAAATTTGTCAAGATGAAGTTCAAAAGTCACCTGCCACGTGGTGGTGACCTTGAAAAGTAGACCAAGGTGAAGACATTCACCCCTGTTTCCCGAAGCGCTCTTCTGGTGTTGACCTTAGACCGATTGACATTTTGAAAGTAGGTCAAAAAAATTTCAAGGATTGCTCTTCTCCAAAGGTCAATCACCCTATTTTTTGGTCATATTTCCTTCTCAAGGTGATCAACGTTCAATGACCTCCATGTTTTGTTTTAAAGCCACCAGAGGACAATCAATGGCCTCATTTGTGTGTCCAAATTTCATTTTTAAGGTTATTAGAGGTTAATAAGCGTCATGTCTTCTCAAGATGGTCAAAATTCAACAGCCTCTACTTTTTTGCCATATGTCATATTTAAAGTTTAAGGTTATCATATCGTATGGCACCATATTTTGTTTTCTAGGTAATCAGATGCCAATGCTCCCATTTTTTGTGGTAATGTATTTCAATTTCTAGATGATTAAAGGTCAATGACCACACTGTGTGTAGTGTCATATTTTACTTTGAAGGTCATCAAGGGTCAATCGCCGCATTTTTGGATCCCCGGTTTTATTTTCAAAGCCGTTAAAGGTCCAAAACGCAATTTCTTGTGGTGTCACATCAAAAAAGTGGTCATTAAACTTTTATAACCTTGAAAATGAATTATAACAGTACAAAAAGAGGTGATTGAGCTTTGACCTTAAAAATGAAATAAGGCACTATACTGATATCCTTCAAAAATGACAAATATGACACAACATAAAAATGAGGCCATTGACCTCTGATGACCTTCAAAAAGAAATATGATACCCGAAGAACGCTTGGGAAAGAGGTACGTACTCTTGAGCCTCAACTTCGCCTACTTACTAAGGTCAGAGCCACGTGGCACGTCACTTGAACTTCACCTGGTCAAGTAGGTCATATTTTTCAAAACTGCCACCTGGTGATGAGCGACCTTGAACGGTCCAGTTCCGCCTCTGTACTACTGAGGAACCTTCAAGGAAGGTTAATCACCTACTACTCGGCGAACAATTTTAAGATTATCCAAAAGAGCTTACGTGTTTGTACTTTCTTCCTGTACACCACGTTCTAGACATCATCGCGTTTGGAATTTAGGGCACACCAGCTGATAGGTTTCATCCAATGCTTTAAACTCATTTCTGAATGCCCTCTTCCGCACTCCGTTCTCACGATATTAGAACTTGACATGTGCACTCTCGTTTTCACCATACCAGGAAATATGTTTCGAGAAGGTGTTCGATTGTCCCTTTGTAAGTACCCTCTTCTAACACCCAACTCGGCGAATTCTGTCAGAAGCCCAAGGATTCTTCCGTTTCTTCAAATTCTTCCGATTTTCCACATTCTTTCCTCATATTGTTCGGTTTCTTTGAATTTTTCCTTCTTTCCTTCTTTACTTGCACCGCCTCTTAGTAGGGGAGTTAGCTCGAAATCCACTGAACGAGAATGATCAAAATTTAACCGATGGAGTTCTACTGTACCAATTTTAAATGGTTGTTTTTTTGAGAAAATAAGTAATACACCAAATGAAATTGAAGAAGATAAAGGAGAAGCTATAGAAAGTCCATAAAAGATCCCTAAAATAAGTTATTTAAGAGAAGGTGGAGAAGCAACCTGAAGAAACCAATATCTGGCAGAAGAGAGTAGAAGAATTAGAAGAAAAAGAAGCTGAAGCACAAGAAGATCTGTTCACAGCACAACAGTTAAATTTGGAACTTCAGATTGAACAATGAGAAAGAATCGGCATTTTAAAAAACAATTTTTGAACAACAAAAGAGACACAGAAACGCTCCAAGAAAGGAAAGAAGGTCTAGAACAAGAATTGAAAGACAAAGAAGATCAACCAAAGTTACAAAAAGAAAATTAGATGACATGCAAAAAAAGTTAGAATTGCAGAAGGCAATGAAGAAGAAATATTGGAAAACAGTTTGAAGATAGAAACAATTGAAAAAGAACCAGTTAAGTGCATAATGAGAAGAAACCAAAAAGATTGGAAAAAGAGAAAGAAAGATACAAGGTACCAGAACCAGCAAATACTAACATAAATTTACAGTTGGCGACACAAATGTTACTCGACCAGACCAAATACCTTTGAATTAAAAATTTTTATTTTGACAGGATATTTTTGTACAAAATTTTGAAAATTTTTATTGATGTTTGTATAAACTCCAAGTATGTTGTTTTCGATTCAACTGTGCAGTTGGTTCAACAACAAGGAGGGGGTACCGTAATGGGTGTGAATATTTTCAATTACAAATAATGCTTTTTGGCCTGGGCGTGAAGGAATACAATTTTATAATTAGCTGTAGATAATGTGTATTGAATTTTGTAGGCGTATTATTTGTTCTAGGTTTAAATTTAGATAAATATAAGCCGTTAGTAAAGAGTTAATCGGTAAGGAATGTACGTTGGCCAAATTAAATGTAAGAGTACGGAGTGAGAGACGAGAATTAATTAGCAGATATTCAGATGAGGCTGGACTCGCTTTTGAGAAAGGCCATTGTGGGCTCTTTTTAACGGTGTGAAATAAATTAAGTGCGCCATAACTAGCAGAAAAGGTCGAAAGCTTGCATTTGTTTATCGCTTGTATTTATATACCTAAGCTGAAATTTTGTTGAGATGAGATGGAGATGAGAAAAGAAAAGGATAAAGAGAATATACACAGTGAACCATCGGTATTTGTAACCATCCGTTACAATACGTCCTCTGCGCCGTCCTGTCACGCTATGGGCTCAAAAAATTAAATGAAAAGCGATTTCCTTAAGATTCCCGATAGGTAGATATCTAAATACCACACTACTAAGCGACTGAGCAAAACTATTATTATTATTATTATTATTAAAAGAGATGCAAGCGTATTAGAGGAGTCGATGGTGTCTGTTTGTTTATCTGTGATCACGATAACTGGCAAACGCTAGGACCGATTCAGTTCAAACTTTGCACAGTTGACCTATATGCCATATGTAGCAAACCTATTGAAAATGGGTCAAATCCAATTACCCCGTAGGGTAACACCGCTCTGCCGCTTTTCTAGGCCCGCTTTACACAGGGTTCATTTCAAGATGGATATAAAAGCCTCAAATATTTTATTTTATATTTATTTCCAAGACTGACAAAGAAATGGAACACGGTTGAAGGTTGGGATGAACCCCAGCGTAGTAGTAGTGGAATTGAACTCAAACCGACATGAAACTAAATCCAAAATCCTAGGAACAATTACTTTCTTCTAAGTCCCACGTATAAGTTTTATCTTAAACAAACTGGAACCATGGCATTTTGTCTTGTGAAGGAACGAGGCCCTCTCCTTCATCTTTATTTCTGCTCGCTATAGGAAAACATATGGTGCATGTATGTGAGTTTGACCTTTAAAATAGTTTAATTCACGCTCCTCGATAAAGGTTTACGACCCAATTTCATTGTAGTAAAACCTCAAAAATGTACTCACTCTGCAAAACCCTCCGAATGCAAACGGGAGAAAGTGCGTCTCTCGTCGGATCACAGTCAACGATCTGAACTTTTGGCAAATCTGTGCAGTCATTAGTATCTGTTGATTGGCAATTGTAGCACTTGAGAGCGGCCCCTTAAAACCCAATTTTAAAATTAGCGCACGCCGCGTCAAATTCAAAATACTTGCCCTCGTGCAGAAGAAGTCCAGACGCGAGCAGTAGCAAAAAGCCTTTCATCTTGACACTCACTTACGAATTAAAAACTCATCCGATCGGTTGTTTTCCGAAGTGTAAACATTTATATAAAGTTTTCTAGGTTGACACGCTTGGTATTTATATTTTCCTCTTAAAGTGTCATGCGAGCGCATGCGATGTGCTCTTTTATCATTGATTATATAATAGGTAGGTGTGCAGCGAGGGTGGACTAAGACGACCCCCTTGCAATAATGATGCGATAAAATACCTGTAAAGGTAAACTATCAATTTGTCATTGATTACAAGGCGTGCGCGTTAGGAATTAGGTCATATCATTTATGAATATCAAAGAATTTCTATTAATTTGTTCAAGGATACGAGAAAGAGCGGCACTAACGCCTACGTTAATTAGTTTTTTAATAACGTGAGTTTGTCATGCGACGAAATATGAATCTTTTAGAAATGATCCATCTATTTATTATGCTAACTGATTTGAATTAATTTGAATTGGACTGTGCTTAGGTTCTTCAACATTTATAATTAAAATTTCATTTGGGGGGGGGGGGGGCAGAGGAAAACGCTTAGGTTGATGAATTACAAAAAAGAACAAAAGTCCCTGTGCCATGCGGGCAAAGAGCCCTCAGAGACGGAATGCTGACAAGAAAGGAAAATCCACAGATTCGCCATAGTTTCTGACTTTCACAAAACCGACCTACACGAGTGATGGCCTGTGGATTCTACCAGTTCGTGTCAATATTCTTATTACGGAATCTCAACTTCTAATATTTTTTAAAATTTACACATGTACCGCTTCATAGCGCACGTGAACAGAAGTATGTCAGGTGATAACAACAAATGTATTGCGCAGTTACGATGACCTTTTGAGTCCTAAAAGTGTCGTTCCGTTCTGTTTAAATTTTTGCAAATTAACAACAGTCGTACACTCCTTTTTCTTCTTGAATTAATCTTTGGTTGACAAAATTTTCAAAATCATAACTGATGGCCAATTTTCACGATTAACTACGGCATGTGTAGATTTTGAGTGATACCTCGCTTGGAAACGAAACCTTTTTTCACTATCTTGATTCCCCTGGTTTAAAATGAGTTCTTTAGTAAAAACATATTCTTTGTCAATCTAAGTGACTTGCCCCGTCTTAGCACTTGATAGTGTATACAGTTCGGTTTTAATCTGAAAAGGCCTTTACATTCACCTGTCAGTCTCGAATCTTCGTGGGCAATAAAAAGAAATGTTCCAGGGCCTTATTGTTTTGCCTTTTTCAGAATATAAAATCGTAAGCTTTTTGAATCGCGAAAAAAAACGTATATGGTTCGTGGGTCTGAATTGGAGTAAGGCCATTTTTTAAACCCGTGTATAAAGTGGATCATGTCAGCGGTTTTTGTATCAATAATTAATGCCATTGTATACCCGCCTGACTGGTGCCAGCACCCATTAAAAACACTATTTTATTCAATGACGTGAGGTAACTCACACATTCCGTTCTAAATTCAAACCTAAGTGATATTACCATTCACATAAAGCGGAACACTTCTAAAAATACGCATCAGTAAAAGTAAAACAATAACAGCAAACCACAATAGTATATTCTTATTCAGTGGTCACAACTTTAAATATTAAAAAAATCTGCTCTCCGTTATCATTAGATGCACAGTGCACAGTTGTGTTCGTGCATAATCGTTTTCTAGAACCCTCTTAAGAAGACCGTCTTCTAGAGCTAGACTGTAACGGTTGGTTTGATCACGTATGATTTTTGCCCGTAGTATGATTATTGTTCTACTTTGTCTTCGTGAGCTTTCGGAACTTGCACGATTCGATATCCTTTTGGAGCGGCAAGATGGCGATTTTGTACTTAGGTTGACACTTTGAAAGTTGGTGCTTGATGGAAATTGGTTAAAAATCGGGACATCCGTTTGGTTTGGATTGCAGAAAGCAGTTTAGGGATGTTTTGGTGCCGTTTGACGGGAAGTTAACCTTTATCTATATCTATATGGTGGATTTTCGGACTACGCGGCAATTTTTCTGCATATCGGAGTTACAACAAGTCGTGTTTAGCTAATTTAATTTGAGTCATCCGCTTCTTCCCGAAGGTAAGGATTATTCCGAATTTGTGTTTGGTTGTTTCGATGTTACACTTGCGGTTTATTTGTAGCGGTTCTTGTTCCGGGAGGATTCTTCGGAAGGGGTTTTTGTTATATCGTACCGCATGAGGACGAAAACGTTGGGATCTGGATTTGCATTCGGAGAAGGAAGCCGAGTATCCTCCTGTCTGAAGAAGCTGTCCAACAAACTATTAACGAAAGATCGGGGCAGTCAAGGCGTTCATGTGATTTAATCATACCATCATCGGAGTCATAAAGAGTATCTTGGATGTGATTTTGTTTGATGACGACTCGAAACTTAGAAATTTGGTAGCTTCACGTAAATTATTATTAGCACTTAATAACGCACCAAATTGGATAATTACTATCGAGTTACCAACAAATCAAGTACTTGGATATTTTGTGTGTACTCAAATTTATACACGAGCGCGAATTTTACTATTTATTACTTCGGCATCGATTTTGGAACTCAAATTAAACACAATTCATTTCGAATGTTGTAGAGAAGGATAGAATCAGCCTATCATGTTACATGGAAATAATGAGTCACATTATACGTTTTGAGTCCTTATCTTTGGTGACTAACCTTTTATCGACTTGATGGCGCTTTGATTTCACTCTAGAAAATTCGCCACCATATCCTTTCAGAATGCAGTTTTAATTGTACATTGATCTTTATTAAAGCAACACGCCATTACTTACAACTTACAACTAGCTTAAAATCCAAGGCTGTTTGGTATCACACTCGGGAACATTAGGAGAAAACAATTAGAGAAACTTCGAAGAGGAACTGTGAGAAAACTGTGAGAGGTGACAAAGCCTTGAAAAAATACGTATTAAGAGTAATGCTCAGACATAGTCCGTACATACCTTGTGCTAATTACTTGCAAATATAAATCCGCTAAGCGTATTCAATGGAGACCGCACGGCACATCAGAAATAGAAAGAAACGCTCCAATGAAATATGGTGATATCAAGTAACAGTACACTAATGGTGTATTGAGAAGAATAATTTGGGCAAAAAATACAACTGTACACAAGACCAAATTACAAAAGGGATCGAATCAGAACTATCGCGGGAAAGATCTGCACGACCTGTGTCGGGGAAACAAGTAACTATTGTAAATGAAACCTGTAACACTCTAGGGGCGGAAATAAAGAACTACGGTAATAGCAAATCTAGTATAGAAATAACTTACATCTTAACCAAACGGATTGCAGAAGAGATACGTAGATCGCGTAAGAATATATTTAAACGAGAGTAAAGACCGCATGGTATACATTTAAAGTTTACACTACATAATGCAGGAAATTGTCCGAAATATTGAATTTTCCCTTTTTAGAGACATTTTCGAGATATTTACAATTCAGTTTTTACATGGCAAGTATATAGATGTGTCATGTCTAGACGATCTTTCTTCCTGGGAGTGCCCCCCTTCGACAAATCGCCGTTCACCAATAGATATGTCTCATCCCGACGTTCCACTTGCTCTTCATGAATACACTCTTCCGACACTTAGTTTTCAAGATATTCGCTTCGGCTTCGCCAGTAGATATGTCTTGTCCAGATGATTAGAGTACTTTCCTCCGACAAACCGTTTTCGAGATATTTGCTCTAAACGTTTTTACATCACCAATGGATATATTTCTTCCAGAGGTCCCAATCGCGCTTTATGAGAACCCTCTTCTTACAATTTGTATATCCGATCATGATAAGGAGTCGACCTTCCCCCATCTCCCACCCCTACTTTTAATAAGGAACCAGAAAGAAGAGCGGTAGTTAATAAAAAAACAGTTCCTTTAATTAGAATACCATGAAATGTTAAAGTAATTTTAATTATTAATGTTAATAATTAATTAATGTTAATTTTAACCGAGATTTTAACACAAAATTCCCATCTCCGTCACAGATAAAAAATCAAGGAATCTCTCTACGTATATAGTTCGAATTGCCTGAAATCAGGAGGACTACAACCGCACCTGGATTAAAAGAGGAGAACATTGGGGTACATTATGTCAATAACGGTATAGGAGAAATAAGAATCTCTATGCTGTGTACACGACTGGAGTCTTGTTCCTGGAATTATGAATCCTGCTGAAATTCCTTTCCGTGGAGCATTCGCTACATCAATCATTGAACCACGATAGTGGGAGGGACCAGTTAGTTAACCAAAACCAAGTGAATTTATTGATGAAGACGAAATGAAAAAAGTGAGTACCAAGTTTATTCAAATGTCCAGTTCTGATGGAGTTTAAGATAATAGAAATTACATATTTTAATTGATGCGAATGGGTTCATAAGGGTCAAACTACGTCTGTATTTAACTGATCCTAACGAAGAATTTACTTGTGCCATTGTATTATCTTCGAAACATGAAAGGAGGATGGACCACGTATAAAAATCTTCTCTAATTTGAACTAAAAAGTTGGGCAAATAGAATGTCCAACAAATTAAACGGAAAGATAAATGGGAAATAAACGGAAAAGGGTTTTTTGTGAAAAATAAAATCAAGCTCTTATAGGGACAAAGAGGAGCACAAATAAGTGGGGAAAATAGAAGGGGGACGACAGTAGGTGGCATCTAACGTAGGAATTTTACAACAGGTATTACAGATTTCTTACAGCGAGGTGCGTAGGTTATGCTTAAATTAAGGTAATAGAGAAGTTGGCAACATATAATAGATAAGTATTAAAAGTAAACTCATACGTCTGGATTGTGTGGTATTCCTGAATCACCATCTTGAATCATATCTTTTAGTAACAGGCTTTCGAAATCCTTTTAATTCTTGAATGTATAAAAAAAATCATTACTTTTGCTGGTACAAAATGGAATTTTATTATTCTGGCCCCCCCGTACGCTTTCTAAAAAAAATTTCAATTTAAAGCGCTACAAGACACCACACCTAACACTATCATCTAGGAAATTTGAGGAGAAGGTGAGTAGTAAGGTAATTAGCTGCAGTAGCTAGTCGAAAAGTATACGTAGCATTAGAAAAACGAGGCATCGATAGAGAGATGATTAGAACGAAAAGAAATATACGAAGAAACCAAACGTTGAATCACTAAATCAACGAAAAGGGTAGCCACAGGGTGCGGAGTACAGAAATAAGAGGATAGAATTTTACTACTAATAATAAAATACCCTTAAAACAAATATTGGAAGCAAATGTAGAGAGGAAAACCAAAACATCCATGGGACTACGTAGTAGGGCATCTGGTCAAGAAAAAGGAAACTACTGGGCGAGAAGTGCAAGAAATGAGAAGTAGTGCCCTTCCGTGCCTTGGTGGCGAATATCCTACCTCTGACTTGTGTACACGATTTTTTTGGGGTAGGTGTACCCTTTGCCTTTATTTTTACACATCGATTCCGAAACAAGGAGGAGTAATTAAAACGGAATTCTTCATTTTTCGTATATTTTACACGTTTGAACACACTCTAAAGTACAAAATTAGAATTAGTTCATCTATGAATAGAACAGAGCTAAATTTAAGAAAATAAGACTAATAACCAGCACACTCTTACTCTTTAGGTACATAGAACGATTGAAAAACGTGCAGAGATCCTGTAGGCACACTCTGCAGTCGATTAGTTGCTCGTTTTCTTTGGGGTTGCAGTGCGGAAGTCCAAAAAGTATTCCCGGCCGTCCCATTCTTTCGCAGCTGTACGTGTACGTTTGGTGGCCGGTTACCGAATCTGGAGAATGGCTTGTAAAACGAATAGAATACTCATTCGAACACTCACTGTACATAACCCTATAGAGGCAAAACCAGAAGAACGTCGTATCTTCAAGCCCGCAGTGGACCTCGCGGAAATGAGGATTTCCCTTCTGACAGATCGTCTCGTTCTGTGCATCGCAGACGTAGCATTTCAATGTTGCGGCTAATTATAAACACAAAAATTAAACGTTCTTTTAATATCAACCTACTTGTATCGAAAAGTGTTGAGAAAAGTATGAAGAACAACACCGAGACATTCATTGGATTTCACACATGGATTGCCGTGCTTATTTTTGCCACTAAACGTTTCAGGACAAAGTTGGCACGCTGTATTTGTAGTTCTATCGAGAATTGTTTAGTTACTTCAAATTCGCTAAACATGTTTTTGTTTAGTTCATCTTCTGCCAAGAATTAGTGTATGGCAGGACTTTTGAAAATGTGGATTCCAATTTTCTAATTTTCTTATTAAGTTCGTATTTTATATTATTGATATCAATGATCTCAAAATTTACCTTTGAATTCTTGTCGTAGCGGCGTTATGAATTCAGTAGGAGGCTCGCAGCCTATTCTGTTTTAGAAAACAACACAAACATACAAGTAAAAGGGGTAGTGAATAGCGCGGCAGATAAAATATTGCGAAATAGCAATTCAAACATCTGACACGGAAGCAACCGGGTATAAAAACAGCGCAATTAATACTCAATAATTCGAATAACTTTACACTGGAAAAAGCAAAATTTTATCTCAAATAGGGATTTCTTGTACAAAAAATGCCTTAGGATGCAAAAAAAATGCTGCGTAATAAACTAACATGCCTCGTATAATATAAATCCTTAAAAACGATTCAATGGAGCCACCACAAACATCAGAAGAAAGAGAAACATGGTGAAGCAGACATTCTAACAACTTTTTTGGTAGACGCGAAGTAAGAAAAGTAATCGCGTACCAAAGGAACATATTTGCATATAATCAATGCGAAAGCAGAAACTTGACAGAGAGGAAGAAGTACTCATGGGCAAGAGGAACTTTAATCGCTTAGCAATTATAAAGCGTCTGTGGGTCTGAACTGTAGTAGGGCCTAGTTAAACAAGTAGCAATTTCTCAAGCGGGAACGGAAGCAAAATTATCTATCGGTATCTAATGGGAAAACAACATTCAGGAAAGTAAATGGTCCCCTTGAACATTAGGAAATTTTACCATGAAATTAAACGGTGCAGTTAAATTTGCAAAAATTTAACGGTCAGCGCTGAAACTACCAAAACATCCCTTCTAAATCGCGCTTGTACCTTTTTTAAAATTCCCCAAGTGCGGAAAGGGAAGGCTGGAAAATCCGCATCGCCCAACTGACTAGTATCAAAGCGCTCTAAAATAAGAATTACATAGCATACTTAAACTTCTTGATAAATGGGCGATTGCCACTAAATGCCGTTTTAAGCAAAACCGCCCACTAGAGTGGATCCCGAAGAACGAAATTACGCCAAGAGCGAGATATTTTCAGTAAGTTAGCCTCGTGCTGCGGACGGATTTTCGCACCATTTAAAAAAAAAAACAAAATTATCGAAAAACTTCCACGGAACCCCGCCTAGTGTGGAGTCTGTAGTCGGTGCGTGCAGATAGACCATATCAGCTTGTAGGACTGGAGCCAAAATCGTTCTGCATCGAAAAAACGATCGAAGCACATCGGTAACTGCTAGTGCTCTAGGCCCTAGCATTTTTATGCAGAATTTTGAGGCATATTATTTATACAGGGTGAAAAATCTTCACATTCTTCGAAGTTTTTGAATTCCTACGATCTTTCTTATTCCTCAAGTTGTATGAATTGTGTAAATATTAAAATACTTCTGATCCTTCTTAAAAGTATTCACATTCTCCAAAATGTTAAGGTTCTTCAAACTCTTCCGCTCTTTCGCATTCTTTTAGTTCTTTCCTTGTAGTCTTCATACAATTTGGTTTCTTCAAATTCATAGAAAAGATTCTTAGAAAACTCCTAAGAAAAGAAATTCTTGAGATTCTAAAGATGTCCTAACAGAAGACCCTAAGAAAGTAGTTAGAAGGTTCCAAGAATATCTTGGAGTAACCGTAAGAAGATTCAATGAAGACCGTGTGAAGCCTCTAAGGATTTTACTCCTACTATCAGCTCTCAAAGTATCTAAGGTTCCGACAATGCTACAAGTAGGGAATGCAATCCCGCAGCAAAATCTCAATCCCGGTATTTGCGGGATCGTTAGATGTTAATCCCGCGGGATCCCGGTATTTGCGGGATCCCGCAAAATTTTAAATAAATTGGCAAATAAGCAATTTTGTGCGGTTAACTTCTGTATTAAAATAAATCGCTAATTATCACAATATTCAACAAAAAAGTACCCACCTTCAGCCTAACTTAGAATTCAAAAAATCACCTGTAAAGCACAAAAAGGTGAACTTCTAAAGTACCTCAAAAATCATAGTACATTTTTAACGAAAAAAGTTTAACAATTATTTTAAAAATAATTTCTCCGTTATGCGTTTCATTAACAAAGCAAACAGCGTCGTCCCGTTGGTCGACAAGTTCCTCAGTCCCGCAAAAATGTTGCGGGATCCCGGTATTTCGGGATCCCGCGATCCCGGTATTGCATTCCCTATAATCCGGTTTGAAATTTCGACCAAAAATTCTGACAGTGCCAATCGATAGCGTTGGTCGAGACCTAGGGTCAATGGTCAGCGGTCAGGGGTCAGAGGTCAGGGGTCAGGGGTCAAGGGTCGGGGGTCAGGGGTGAGGAGTCAGGGGTCAGGGGTCGGAAGGCATACCTACGACGCATCTCGAGATATTACGGTTTGTCAGAATTTTTGGCTGAAACTTCAAACCGGAATTTCTTGAGAACCGTGCCTTCCGACCCCTCGTTGGAAAGGTCTCGACAGGCGCTATCGATTGGCGCTGTCAGAATTCCGACCAAAAAACCAATTTCTACAAAAAATTCAAGGGCTGTAACTTTTGATCTAGTAGCTCGATCTGGGAACTGTTTGAAATTATGGATTCTACAGGCCACATTCTATAAGAAAATATTTTTTTGCGGTCGATCTGAGACAATTTTTTTTTCGGGCCAAAAAAAAAGCAGTGTTTTACCTTCCTTTTTTACCAAAAATTGACTGCACCAAAATTTCTCGGGAAGGAACTTTTTCTTATTAATTTTGGTTCGTAGAATCCATAACAATTCGTACTTTTTCGATTAGACGTCTCAATCAAAAGTTATGGACTAGAAACCAATTTCGAAAGAAAATTCAAAGGGCTGTAACTTTTGATCTAGTAGCTCGATCTGGGAACTCTTTGAAATTATGGATTCTACGGGTCACATTCTATAAGAAAATATTTTTTCCCGGTCGATCTGAGACAATTTTTTTTTCGGGCCAAAAAAAAGGTAGTGTTTTACCTTCCTTTTTTACCAAAAATTGACTGCACCAAAATTTCTCGGGAAAAAACTTTCTCTTATTAATTTTGGTGCGTAGAATCCAAAACGATTCGTACTTTTTCGATTAGACGTCTCAATCAAAGGTTATGGACTACATAGAAACCAATTTCGACAAAAAATTCAAAGGGCTGTAACTTTTGATCTAGTAGCTCGATCTTGGAACTGTTTGAAATTATCGATTCTACAGGTCACATTCTATAAGAAAATATTTTTTTTCGGTCGATCTGAGACAATTTTTTTTTCGAGCCAAAAAAAAGTCAGTGTTTTTACTTTCCTTTTTTACCAAAAATTGACTGTACCAAAATTTCTCGGGAAAAAACTTTTTCTTATTAATTTTGGTGCGTAGAATCCAAAACGATTCGTACTTTTTCGATTAGACGTCTCAATCAAAAGTTATGGACTAGAAACCAATTTCGACAAAAAATTCAAAGGGCTGTAACTTTTGATCTAGTAGCTCGATCTTAGAACTGTTTGAAATTATGGAGAATTCTACGTCGATAGCGCCGGTCGAGACCTTTCCAACGAGGGGTCGGAAGGCATACCTGCGACGCACCGTTCTCGAGATATTCCGGTAATACAAGGTGATTGTAAAAAGGTTCTGCAAGGATTCTAAGTCTCTTTAAAGATTCCAACATGACTCCAAGAATATTGAAAATAGTTTCAATGCAGACGACATTGGAATGGGTTTTGTACCCTATACATTTTAACACATAAGGTGAATACAGTGTTATAAAATTTAAAAGTTTCTTATTTGCGGTGCAAAGAGCAACACAGCGTTCTAGAGTTTTTTTCTCATAGAGCAAAAATAAACAAACAAGTTCACTTACACCGTAATGCACTTAAATCCCTACCAAAATAAGTACACATCGAGTTGCACTAAAGATGTAATATGAAAGAGTTTCCCAATCTCATAAAAAAATTCGTGGAAAACACCAATTTCCTTGCAACGATTTCCGAAAGATTTAAATTTGAACATCAATTTCACGCAAATAATAATCGCTTACAATAGAAAGTGCTTTTAAAATAGTAAAATAATAAACATGAAAAACTTTAAGTATGTGGTAGGTGTAATGTTTGCATTAAAGACGTTGCCATTAGGCCGTCCTAATTTCAACATCCCCTAAATGTTAACTACCGCCAAGCAGGAAATATGGGCGCACCTTGGAATTATCGAACTAGCGATTGTGGGGCGTGTATTATACAAGCATTGAATGGAAATATAATTTGTTTATTCAATGGTATAAATACACCATGCAAACCCCAAAAGAACAAAGGGAATTTTTTGCTGTAATGTATGATCTTTGTTACATATTTAATGTATGTTAATATTCTTGAAAGAGGCTACTCAATCAATTCAGTGCGTCATAATCTCGCATCCGCAATAAGACAATACCATTATGGCAGCAAACTGAAACTCATCAAGAGGGGTGCATGGTAAAAGGTCCAAAACATCTCCTTTCCACCTCATTTCCAATTCTCTTTAAATAAAATCTTCTGAAGGACCCCTAATTTTATGCAACCAGAATAACTCATGCGCACGCATTCTGCAGTGCTATTCTAGATTTGGCAGTTGCATTGCATTAGTGCCTTCCAAATGCTTAATACAAATACTAAGCTCTTTTCACTGTTTCAGCAAAAGATTAAGGCACTTTAATAAAAGAATTTATATCGTTTTGTCAATAGCATTGCTTTTTAGATAGGTTAGTTTGTAGGTAGGAACTTATAAAAGCGACAGTAAAGAATAGTACGCTTTTAGGTTGATAATATCCACTTTTTCTTCAGTTCAATACATCGCACATGAACAAAAATAATAATACGGAAGCCAAAGAAACAGTACTCAACTTAATTAATATGACAGTGATCTTCATTTGATTTAAGATGTTATTTTGGTTGCATAAAATTAGGCGTTCTTCAGCCGAGATTTCGTTTTTTAAAAGTAGCATAGAGAAAAACAATACGCACAAATCCCTATATCTACTTCTTAACGAAATTGGCGCAGTAGATTTATATCCCCCAGTATCCGTTACTTGCGACGATCTCTCTTAAAACCTCCCGATCGAAATTCGGCGATCATAAAGTTGAAGGGAGAACTGGCACGCTATTGAGAAGAAATTTAAGTGAAGAGGTAGTTCCCTTCCCCTCTCTCTATTTTTCTATAACCTGGAACCAGAGCAAATGCCACGACGGAGTACTCTGTCTAGGTCTGCATTTCCATTATTTGCTCTAAACGGAACCAACGCAAAAGCCAAGCAAAGCGTCATACCGTCAACGGACGGCATATCGGTTTCAACATAAACAAGTTATTACTCCTATTTATCTTCCTAACATCCACATCCGCGCATCAACAGAAACCTTCCACCCGAGGCTCCATTGCCCCCTTTTAATTACCTGGTTTTATTCAAAACAGTCCTGTCGGCTCATACGCAAGGATTTAAAACAAACTAATTGGGGCGTGATCACCAAGCACACCTCTAACCAACTACCCACCCCCATCCTGGACGTCCCTTCAGACATTGACAACGAAGCCAGTTAACTTCTACGCCACCGCCAACATCAGTACCACCAACAAAACCACCCTGATCAACGGCAGCCATCTAACATATCCCTCTAACCAGTTAAAACAGGCGTACAATTCGTCAACTCCTTCAGACTGGCGGCACCGACCAGAAGAAAGAAAACCCTCTTGACCAATGCAACATGGTCGCTCTGGCCTACGCTTTAGCGTACTCATCGTATGCGTAAATTCACCCCTGGATGCTGGGAAACACTGAAAAAAATGTAAGAAACTATACTCGCTCTTGCATCCCTCTTTTATGTAATCTTGATTATAGCGTCAGATCCCAGTGTATTTAATGCTTCTCCGGTTACAACGCGTTAAACCTACCCTAAAAGTTTAATTGATTGATGATCTTGTAACTTTATTGCGCCTAAATATAGACAACACACAAGCTACATAATATTCCCAAAGCAAGACTTCCATCAATCGTTGGGGTGGGGTCACTGTCACCTCTTCACCGAAAACGTTTACATCTTGCTACCGGATGCAATTTGTGTTTATTATCATTTCAATACAGAACTGTCGTAATTAAATTTCTCCAACCTAATTTGTACAATGAATGAAAAAGACGTCGCATCAATGAATCAACAAAAGACAACATGGATCATTAGTGCTTGAAGAGGGAGGACTGATTAATCAAGAGGTTAAACGCTTAATTGGTAATTCGAGGGCGTAAGGTCAACAGAGGACCATCTTACTTTCCTTACGTACGTCGATTTTCCGCACAAATACGTTTACAACAAATTTAAATAATTAACTGTGTTTATGTGCAGCAGTTTCAATGCCACAAGTGAGTCAGTCATCTATTTACTCATGGCGTTATCCACGCCGGTGTAGAAAAATCATGGTGAAGACTACTGATGAGTGACGTAATATGCTAATAAACAACTCGCCTCAATTCGTTACAATTTTCTCTCGATCTACGTAATACAATTTTATTATAAGTTCCCTTGAAAATAAATAATAAACAATTACCTTTATTAAATGACATTGACGTGGTTACTTAATGTAAAAAACTCACGCAAATAAAGTTTTTTTCCAGTGAAAAACACACAAAATCGCTCAGGAGGGAAACGGATAAAAATAGTGAAAACATGACCCTATTTTAAAACTTTTCAGTGGCACGTGTTGGAAGACTAACACTAAAAATAATTTAATTGTCATCTGCGTTGATACTTCTGGTGATGACATCTTCTCCGCAGGTATTTCATTTTTGGACCAACAAATTTCATCCGCTTTGGTCCGCATCACAATAACCTACTCAATTAAGTAAAATCTGTGGGAAACAAAATAAAATTACCCAATACGAAATAATCATGGAAAAATGTATGTGGAAATCTCTATTGTCTCTCAAGGCTGTATGTTTTGAAAATGATACAGAATGAGATGTTCGCTGTGTATTTTTGAGTTGACTACAACAATATTTTTTATTCGTTTTGAAATAGCGTTAGGATTAGGAACCTTAGATTTCATAACTTTGTTTGTGTAAATTGAGTGAAAGAGGTAACCGAAAATTAAAAAAAATAAGCCCAACTTCGAACCGGAATTTTTTGCTTGAACAACTCTGAAACACTTGGAACCTTCTGCCTTTTGGAGAAATCGCCCAAAAAACGTTTATACCTTTTTGAACCATGGATTCTGAAAGAAGAAGAATTATTCCTTGTGGTGACTTAAAAGTGCCATTTTTTACTAAAAGGAAACTAGCAGCGGAAAATTTTTGATTTGAGCACAAAGGTCGATGAATGTCATCCCCCCCTGTACCCACAGCTTCTGAAATTTTATCTGACCTATCATTGGAAAGACCTTTCTTACTCTCCTACAAAGAAAAAGTTCTTGGCAACTAAACGAATAAATTAAAACAACTCAGGGTAAGAAAGGCTCTCTAATAATGTATATGCCATACTCATAGGAGAAAGTGAAACCGTTTTATCGTAAGGGATTAAAGCAAATGACCACGACCGGGGTGCCCAAACAACCAAAAAAAAACTCGCATTTTCGTCATGTGCTCGACTTTAAACAAAACCCAACTAAACTTTTCGGCCCCAAGAGATCGTCTGATGTAGTTACTATCACGTTCGCTATGAAGCGGTACATCTGTGGAAATGTCTTTATTTGGACCAATTTACAAATTTCAAAATAACTGTATACACTGTGTCCAAGATAAAGACGCGATCTCGGAAACTAGAGAAGATACGAAGATGATCAAATTAGGGAAAAGTTTCGCAATTAAAGAGTAATTATTATACTGTAGGGAAAACGATAAAGTTCCGATTACTTTCGAAGATTATGTCAGAAAAACCGAAATTTACCCATCTTGTTTTTATTTTTTCCCGGTGTTATTTGAACAGACACAGAATCAGAGGTTTTAAATACAGGAGAAATCATCGTCAACTTTATTTTTTTATATGGCCCGTAAAAAAAGTGTATATTACGAAAGCGTAGAACGGATAAGGTAGTTCAAATTATGTAATCCCGAGATATAAGTCGGGATTATACTTAATCCCGAGATATAAGTCGGGATCATACGTAATCTCGAGATATAAGTCGGGATTATACTTAATCTCAAGAAATAAGTCGGGATTATTCTTAATCCCGAGATATAAGTCGGGATTATACTTAATCTCGAGAAATAAGTTGGGATTATACGTAATCTCGAGATATAAGTCGGGATTATACGTAATCTTGAGATGTAAGTGAGGATTATACTTAATCCCGAGATATAAGTCGGGATTATAATTAATCTTGAGAAATAAGTCGGGATATAAGTCGGGATTATACGTAATCTCGAGATGTAAGTGAGGATTATACTTAATTCCGAGATATAATTCGGGATTAAGTATAATCCTCACTTACATCTCGAGATTACGTATAATCCCGACTTATATCTCGGGATTAAGTATAATCCCGACTTATATCTCGACTTATATCTCGGAAATAAAGTGAGTAGGGGAAAAACTAAGAAACCAAGCAAATTTCACCGATTTTGGGTTGGTACAGAGAAAGCACAAGGGGTGAAAGGTTGGAAACGTGGATTCTTAACCACCAGATAACTCTATGACATGCAAGAAAAATTTGAACTATATACTTCTCATTTTGCATGTTTAAAAGATCTATTCTCTGGACTTCCTTAAAGGTCTGAGCACGAATAACCCGATCGTGTCAGGTTCGTGATCGGACCGGTGTGCGGCCGTTTTCCTCCAATCTGCCGGTAAAGGATATGAAAGGAGAAATGTGGCGGTTCACACATCACAAAGTGCCGACCGTGGGCCGGCCATGTGCTGACCGTGTGCTGTCGCGGGATCTGTTGTGTTTACTGTTCCACGGTGACGGTCCAGTGTGCTTGCATTTGTCTGTTTGAGGTTAGGTGCAATTTTTCGTGGAAACAATGGGCGCTGAAAAATTATTGGAGAATGTTCGGAAATATTTAGTGCTCTCTGATCAAAGTTATAATTTTGCCAAAAGTTCTTTCGGTGTAATTGGCAGCCTTCAAAAAGAGCCTCGCTTTTCCATATGACTATGGGGTTTTACTAAGAGCCGTTGCAATTGAAATTGATTGTGGCATCCTGAAGTTCTCATAAAACTTCGTTTTATGGTTAATTAGATGAGGAAACAGAGTACGAAATTCTCCTTCCAGATACCTTCTTCTCTCTTAATCCTTCACCTTTTTTCTCTCCACTTTCTTCTCCGATTCCACCTCCTTCGCTTCTGTCTTTTCTACTTTACCTTAATTTTTGTACTTCTGAAATTTGTATTCTCAAATTAGAACTCCAAATTTGATCTTCCAATTGAATGTCTGACGTGCAGTTCTAATTATTGTAGTCTTCTTTTCCAACAGAAAACTTAATTATCTAATAGCAGTTTGAGTTTTTCGCAATCATTCTCATTACTTAAAAAATCCTCCATAGGCATCCCCAAAATGGGCTCTAACCCTCCACGTTCACTAGGAATTGCAACTAAGTTTGAAACATATTTTTAAAGAAATTCCTTCACAAGCATCCCTAAAAGTGATCTCTCTCTCTATACCACGTTACCTGTGACGTACAACTACAAGTGCGATAGTTATTAAGGATCCTCATATCCGTTATACTTTTGTATTGTTGTCCGTCCGTCCGTCCATGTGTGCTATTTTCAAGTAGCTGGTTCAACAGGAACAAAAGTTGATGTAGCGAGTTCGGACTTTCGTATTTCCTATGACTTTTAGATGTGTAACAATTCAATATAACTCTTCTCTGTGGGCTAGGTCAAAAGTTTTAGAGCAAAATGTACCCAACATTGTTCTTTACACATGAATTTGGAGTAGTAAAGGCTTTCAAACGCATTATCTTGATACTGAAAGGGTACATTTATTTATTTTATATTTATTTATTTATTTATTTACTTATTTATTTATTACTTACAGTACATCACATGCGCATATGATAACCGCGTATGTGTGATTCAAAGATCTTAAATTATTTTTCTGCGGTCACATGGATTTTGATGAAAATATATCAAAATCGTTTTTAATAATAATAATGTCTTTTATTCACAAATTAACGTACATAATAATTTCGTGCACCAAGATCGTTGGGAAAAAGACTAAGTGCATTATCTCAATGCCGAAGACAAATTTAATGCATTTTTGACGATTACGTTTCTTTGCATGCAGATTATGTTTTAAAGTGTAGCATAAAAGGAGTTTGCTAATAAAACCTCGATCCATCGCACACAAACGCGCTTAAGTAGTTCGACGAATCGAGTACTTCGGCCTATACTTTCCAACTTGTCTTAAAGGATAAAACCAATATTTACTAAAGTACCAACGTAGGTATATTTCTAGTTTCTCTAACCCAGCCAACACACTTACGTTTAATAAACGGTTTTCAAACATTTTGAAAGGATAAATTCGGTATTGGTAGTATGGTATACGTTTTTTTATAGACCAACATACCCTACGTTTAAAATACGGTTTTTGTTCGTATACATAAACCATAGGGTACACGTTCTACGTTGACAATATGTATATAATAAACGGTCTTTTAGCAATAATTTGATAAACGTATATAACACCATTTTATTTACTTCCTCCAAAATACCAATAAACATTACAATAGTCATATTCTACTTACCAAAATTACGTATTACTTATTTCTGTCATAATCTCACGAAACTGGTAAAATGTTGAAAATAAGTGATAAATAATATGCTAACCTGACAAACGTATATAATATGATTTTAATTTACCTCATATGTATATACTCGTATACGTATATACCTCATACTCATATGTATAGGAATATATAATAGATTATGTACAAATGATCCATAAGCAACCCTCTAATTGCGCTATAAGGATAAAGCTCCTTTTCGTTTTAAAATTACGAATTATATTAGAAAATTCATACTTATATATATAGTATTCCTCGATTGCGGGGGTTGTAATTTTTGTAGTACACCAAATATTTGTATTTCGTTAATCGATTATGTATAAATGATCCATAAGCATCCCTCTAAGTGGGCTCTAAGGAGAAAAAGTTCCTTTTCATTTTAAAATTACGATTTTTTTTAGAAAACTGAGACTCATATGTATAGGAATCCTCGATTGATGGGGTTGTCATTTTTGTAGTTCACCAAATATTTCAATTTCATTAATCGACTATGTATAAACGATCCATAAGCAACCCTCTAATTGCGCTATAAGGATAAAGCTCCTTTTCGTTTTAAAATTACGAATTATATTAGAAAATTCATACTTATATATATAGTATTCCTCGATTGCGGGGGTTGTAATTTTTGTAGTACACCAAATATTTGTATTTCGTTAATCGATTATGTATAAATGATCCATAAGCATCCCTCTAAGTGGGCTCTAAGGAGAAAAAGTTCCTTTTCATTTTAAAATTACGATTTTTTTTAGAAAACTGAGACTCATATGTATAGGAATCCTCGATTGATGGGGTTGTCATTTTTGTAGTTCACCAAATATTTCAATTTCATTAATCGACTATGTATAAACGATCCATAAGCAACCCTCTAATTGCGCTATAAGGATAAAGCTCCTTTTCGTTTTAAAATTACGAATTATATTAGAAAATTCATACTTATATATATATATATAGTAAGCCTCGATTGCGGGGGTTGTAATTTTTGTAGAACACCAAATATTTATATAATTATATAAATATATAAATAAATATTTATTATAATTATATTAAAAAATTTATTTATACGGGTGGCACGTCTTTGACTAGGTTTTCGGGTATGCCCTTTCCGATTTTGATAAATTTTTTTCAAATTTCGTACCACGAAAGGGCGATTTGGGTGTGTGAAAAAAATTCTGATTTCGACGAAATTTGGTATCTGGGGGTTTTTGAACATGAAAATCAAGTTGATCCAATTAGTTTTTGAATTTGGAAAAAAAAAATAAAAGAAATTATGTTTTCTGATATTCATTTTCATTTGGGGGGTAAAGTAGCACTATTCTCGACAGGAACCTGCGTCGTCCTCTTAAAGTTGGCTACAGCTACTTTCAATAGATCGTATAGCTGAAACTTTTTTTGATCCTGCAGGACGCTCCTGCGGCGCCGAAACGGCCTCTCTTATGTATACGAAGATGACAAGAATTGGAAACGACGCACGCTTCTTGAACGTGAAAACACCTACAATTTCAAACTAACTATAATATAATACTTTCAACAAATCCAAGTTTAAACTTGTAGGTATTTTTTTGATGCGTGCAGATGCTATAATATAATACTTTCAACAAATCCAAGTTTAAACTTGTAGGTATTTTTTTGATGCTGCAGATGGACGCTTCTTCGACGACAGCAGGCGCCTCTTATTGTAGGCAAAGACGGAAAGAATTGGAAACGAAGCTTCTTGGACGTTACAGAGCCTGCAAACTTTACAGCGCCTCCGTATGGATGCAGAGGACCGTTAGCGGCGCCAATTACCGATGTGAAGACAGGAAGAATACCTAGGTTTACAAACTGGTAAAGAAGAAAATGGACCCTAAATGTCTATGATAGACTTTTTGGTTTGATTAAAAATATACATCTACCAAGCACATATATTGCATTATTATTATATACCCATGTTTATTAGCAGTACAATTATCAACGAATTTAATACTGATAATGCGTAAGGATACATATTCCGAAATTTAAACGTATTCAGTAAACGCATATAAATCGTACTTATATATAAATGGGAATAATAAACGCATAATACCCTCGATAATACCTATTCTAAAAAAAATATAGCATTTATGCATACTATTATACTACTATACGATTACGTTTTTTAGACGTAGGGTTTCAACGCGTTATATGCGGAACTGTGTTTGCTTAGGAAGGTTAATTCCCTGTATGCTAATTATGAGTATGCGAAATTGATCAGCCATCGAAGTGTTCAGGACGCGATTCTGGTGCGAACTATCCGGGTGCTAATTACCTGGAAGCAAAATGGCCAGGTTACAAATTTTGCGGATGCGAATTGTCCTTGGAATTCTCGGCATACGAGGCCTATAAGTGAATGTGAACATCTCCAAATTTAGAATCCAAATCCAGAAATATGATGAATGCTATTTTGGATAATTTTTCATTCGTGCATCAGGAAATTTGGTTATCAAACCTTCGATTCGTTTTCTCACCTACACCACATACAGAACGCAAGAAGTTAAAACTACCCCACAACTTTCTTGGTAAAAACAAATCGAATGGAATATAAAGAACGTGATTTAGTTTAATTCAGGTGGACTGATTTTGGAAATGGTTGCGATGGACATGAAATTTGAAATCTGGAGAGCTGTAGGAAGGAGTTAATTTCGCACTGTCTCGCGCTAATACTTAAACAACTTTCTTCACTTTCGCTTAAATCGCATTCAATTTCTTCTCAGTTTTTGCCTATTTTCCAACCTCGCTCCCAATACGTGATTTTCTTTATAATACAATTTGGGGTCAATTACGTTCAATACAAATTTGGTACACCGCAACTACTGCAAATTTCAGGTTTTATACGATAGCCCAAAAAAACGTTTGTTTACCGCATATACCTACACATTAAAATTATCGCACAATTAAATAGGTAACGTATGCAGCGGCGGAGGGGGCGGCTAAAGTAACTTAACGACCAAGTTAACTTTTCGTCCGTCAGTTGTGGGCTCGCCACGTTAAGTTTAGCACGAGAACCGGATTTTGTATTTTTTTTAAAAGTCCCCAAGATGAATTCGTTGGCGTTTTGTTTCGTAACTGCACTTTTGCTGGTGTTTATCAAAACTAGTGAGTAGTGACGATATTGCACAACCTGTGGATTACTCAGTATTATAGTTGGCTTGGTTACAAAATTTGTAAACATTTCAAGGTTTACCGTTACCTAAGCGTTGCAAATTTGGCTGAATTTATTTATTTATAAATGTGACTAAGCTGTTTATCGATTTCAGGTTATTCGTTGCAATGTTGGGAATGTACCTCCGATAGTTATGGACGTTGCGCGGATCATTTTAATACGACACTATTCCCGAGGCAGGCGTTTGTTTACAATGCGGTAACAGGTAATCCGCGTGTTGTGAATTGTGATGGGGGATCCTCCCAGTATGGACAATACAGCTACCAAAGGCACGTCTGCATGAAGAGGGTCGAAACTGATCGAAGTAAGTTTGGCCGATCCTTACGCGTCAAACTAACTTTGAGTTTAAAGGACTCGGCAGGACGACGTACTCCAGGCACTGCCACACTTTGGTCGGCAACGAAAGGGTAGGCACGTGCCCCACGCACATAACCAACCCCGATATCGTCGTCGACTTTTGCGAATATTGCGATACGCACGAGTGTAATGGTGGCCTAAGCGTGACGAGTACGATGTGGAGCTTAATTCCGGCCGCGATGGCCCTAGTTTTGTTGAAGTAGATGCGAGAGACGTACAAAATGCTTTTCCATTTTCATTGACCTACATTCCACACTTTCACATACGAGTAGACTTAGGTCTTTTATATTTGACTTGTACATATAGCAATTAATCCCTTTTATAATTCATCAAAAACCTACCAGCATCCTTAATTTAATCTTTCCCAGCGCACCCTGTACAATAGGCCCCCCTTAATTTAATAATTCCTTTTTTATTAGAATAGAAGATTAATTCTACTTTATATTTATAGAAGAGAGTTTATTTATGTAAATTTCAAACGAAATAAAGTTGATTTTTCGTTGTTTATTAATAGAAAGTTAACATCAACGGAACCACACCTTAATGTGACTGTATAATTAGTCTATTGCGACTCATACTCTAATATGCGAGTAGTCAGGTTTTTTAATTACTTACTGTCCCATCTAATTTTCTCACGTAATTAGGTTGTATAACGTCAATCAATGTGACCAGGACGAATAGTAAAATAGCTTTTTAACCTTGCATTTTTTACGCGCATCAAAATTGTCACCTCAATGAAAAATGATGATTAATTCGTGGGGTAGGTTGCGGAAAAGTAATTACTGAAATTCCATCTCTCTTCGTTGGTTGCGAAAATTGTTGCTAGTCTAGCGGGCCCTTAGAATCCAACCAATTGCAAATCGTACCGCGTACGTATTTCGAATGTGGGAACTAGCCACAGTTGTTTGCGATCAATATGATGAATTTACGTTGAATAAGTTGTAAATCAGCATATGCATGACGATTGGTAATACAGATCAATATTTCATTAGCAAAGTTTAAAATCTCACGAGTAATGTAACTCAAAAGAGACTAGAGCCTGCACATCTACACTGAAGGGTTTTAGTGAAAAGCGAGGTGAAAAGTCTTTAGCTAATTGCTGAGATCTCATCCGGACAATCAGCCAGCCTGCCAGCCAGTCAGGCATATCGAATATAATAGCATATATTTTTTTAGAAAATGTGCTAAAAATTAAATTAGACTGACTCGATCAGTTGATAAACCAAACCGGGTTCAATTATAAATCAAACTTTCTTTTACAGAAATTGTAGGCCATTGGGTTGTAATGTCACGTACTCTAGGTCATCAAGGTCTAGGTAGACACATGCCCATCTCCAAATTATTTGAAAATAAGCATGGGGCCGGGGGACACCGGGAACTTTCCCGCTGGGCCGGTATTAGGATCCATGAGCGCTTTGCGGCTGGCAGCATCACTCAAATGAAAACACAAAACAGAGATAGAGCCAGCATACACCGTTAATTAATATTCTAAGGTGACGGTGTACTACCACACACCCACAAAGCAGTATTCAATTTTAGGGGCACCTCATAGCTTCAGCTTCTATTGTCGACACGACAAAGAGAGACTGCGATTCGAGGTCTTAAGAAACTTTTGGGTACCCAAAGTCGACTATCCCTCGAAGGCGGGGGTTTACACATCAATCACCACGTTAGTACAAAACGCTTCGAGATGGCGCCCAGATGTCTCCAAACGCATCATGTAGCCTTTTTCCTAAAGTTGTTAATTATACGACACCGGTAGGTACATGTACACTCCTTGTCTTGCTCCAAGCGTTTTTCTACAGACCCACATTTGCTGCCAACCAGCTAGCCAGCCACATAAATTTGCAAAGATGCGCTAAAAATGAAATAACTAGTAAGGATATTTAGATGGTAAATTGGAAGATAATTGATAATTGCTATACTCTTGAAATCAAGGTATTGAATCGATTAAAAGAAGAATCGGCGATAAAGAGCGAAGACAGATGTGACGCAACCTTTCCGGGAAATACGACGTGTTTGTTCGAGAACATTCTAGAATACTCGGGAACCTTCGAGAAAAAGTGGCGTTCTAGGCGGCGTTTGTACTATATAAGCAAATCGAATTGCATTTCGGTCAGTTCCAATTTCAACTTCGAAGTAATGGATAGTTCGCGCTTATAATTACTGTTATAAATTAATGCATTTTAAGACTTATAAATTAATAAATTGATTAAATAATTAATGGTGAATAAATAAATTACGTTATTTAAATTTACGTTCGAATGTTCGGCACTAGCTAATGCCTACTAGTGAGGTGTTAACTTATAATCAGAAGGGATAATAAATATATAATAAATAGATTAATGAATAAATAAATGGGAATCTCGTATAAAATTAAAAGTAGCTTAAATGGGCAAACAATTGCAGAATTTTTTGTAGACTAAGTTTTCCTTTCCGAGTTTTTTCTAACTGTACAGGATGACTCAAAGATTGCGCGAAGTAACTTTTAATGGTTTGATTATAAGATTTTTTGATATAGTGCTTTTGTATTATGATATGGTTGAATATTCTCCACACTATTATAATATTTGGAATTATACAGGGTGCGCTCACAAAGTATGGCGCCAAAATGGTACATTTTTTAAATGGAACCCCCTGTATTTGAATGCATTTCTTAATTGTACGACTTTTTTTATTATAATGAAAATAAATTGTCTTTTATTGGACAGTGCATAGAAAATATATAAAACAAAATAGAAGTAAAAACAAAACATAATGTTGAACCATCCAATGGGGCGCAGTTCAGATGGAGTACATGACCACACATCTGCTCTTCCACTTAACCCCTATATGGTTAATATCCGAAAAACCAGTAGTTTTAAAGATAATTCGATTTGTAAGAAAAATTTGGCATTTGCAAGCGTCAGTATAATGGTCAAAATATTACGTAAATTTTGATTTCAGGTTCCAGACATTTTCCAGCTTACAGGGTGTTTTTTGGTAGGTCTAAAGTTATAAAGATTCATATTAAAAAATCTCATTTTTTTTAAATGGAACACCCTGTATATTTTTAAACTTTTGGATATAATGTCTTATACCTATCTCTGATAGTTTTCGAAATATCTTGGTTTTCTTAATAACGAGATGGCCATGCAAAGAAGGCAATTTATATCTGTCTCGTCCAAAACAAAAATAATATTGATCCTCGTCTTCTTACTTGGTACTCGGGTTACTCTAAATATAAATCGTTGCAGTGTGTTCTTTGAAAACAGGTATGGAACATCGTTTTAAAACTTTTTTGTGTTAATAAACCCGCACTTGGCGCTAGGCCCTTCTAAATTTCCTAACTAAAAATCGGCTGCCCATACTCTTAAACTAACGGGTTACCTAACCTTTTCAAAATTTCTCAAAAGACAATAAAAAAAAACAATTACAGAGAGCCCTACGCTCATTCGGAGGGTAACAAAGGATTAAGATTTCGTAAAAAAAACAGAACCAAATTTGATTAAATCCATTTTCGAAGTAAACTGCAGTCCTGTTGTTTTCTTATGGGAAATAACACGTGCTTATCTTCAAATTAATTAAATTTCACCTTAGGCAACGCGATAACAAATGTTCTTAGCGCAATGCCCAGAACCTTCTAATACAACGCACAAATACGACCAGATGTTCCTTCTTTTTAACACGTAATTTCGCTTTTACAATAAATAAGCAAACCAAAATTAACAAATTAGAAGGCAATCAAACTAAACAAACTTTAAACATCCATAAATTCTTATACAACTCAACGTTGGAATTAAAAATTAAACAAAAAGAAACAATTAAAAACAGCAACAATTACACGAAAAAAAATTGATTTTTACATACAGGCTGATGCATCATTATTATACGTACAGAGCTCAAACAAAACGTCTGCATGACAATGTTTACAAAATAATATGAATTGTTTAATGTTTAATTATTTATATTTTATAAAGGAAATTAAGTTCCAGAATATGCAAGGAAGGAATGAATAAGATGCAACTTGATTGACACCTTCCATTGTTATTACACGTTAGTAAGCATATTGGGGTAAAAAAAACGGATGGGAAATACACGTTTTGAAGGACCAGAAAACCGAATCAATCAAAATCTCAATGATGTCGGTCTGTCTGTCTGTGCTCTCATTTCCGGCTAAACGGCTGAACCGATTGGAACCAAATTACCCTAGCAACACAGTTCCGTATAAAAAGCGTTTTTGTAGACTAAAACTCTACGTATATAATACGCATAAATGTGCGGCGGATGTTGCCGTATTCTTGTAGGAATATTATGCGTTTATTATTTTCCAATGATATACGACTTATCTGCGTATGTTAAAGTAGTGTTATATACGTTTATAAAAAACGGTTATTTATATACGTATTATCAACGTAGAAAGTGAACTCTATCGTTTATATATGAATAACATATATGAATAAGAACCGTCTTTTAACCGTAGGTATAAAATCGGCCTACACAAAAACGTATACCATACTACCAATACCGAATTTATCCTTTCAAAGCGCTTTAAAACCGTTTTTAAACGTAAAGTGTGTTTGCTGGGTAGGTACACATATTCTTAAATACGTCGATAGAATGGTAGGTACTTAAAAAGTCTCCGAAATTGAAACTGGTAATTACAATGCAACCTACAATCAAACCAAAATAACCAAAATGTACATTGCTCTTTAAATAAGAGGGCTAATTATATATGAATGCAAAAATCGCCGATGGAAAATTATAAAACAAATACCATCCGAAATCTAAAGAGATACACTTAGAGTAGATATGTAAAATGCAAATGGCGCACTTACAAGAAGTTTTTAGGTGAATCCGTCCTAATAATATTTCCGGATTCTCCAAATTAAGGATTCAATTACCAAGGATGGCGGCAATCAAAATTCCATGCGTTTTTACTAACGCCTCGGCTGTTTGTTCAAACGAAATGCACTTTGTTACAGCTCACCAACGAAAGAGAAACACCAAGGCCGACAACCGATAAGCACGGCTCGGCGCGGCAGAATGCACGCTAAAATGGCGTTGTACAAAGTCAAACAATAGATGGAGTCATCTCTTCCAAGGTTAGGTTACGACTTTCAATAAGTAATATTGGCTGCTTTGTAATGAAGGAAATAGACCGTTACATATTCTCACTCCGACAACGAGTGAATCAAAATTGTCCTGTTTTCTTTAGTCCGAAAGCTGAGTGATCTGGCAAAGCAACAGTACGCCTAAGTCTGGCTGGCGATCGCCCATCGCATAAGTCCTCGGTATAACTCTGGACGGGACTGTATGCCAGAAGACCTTCACATGGGTTTCCAAAGCTTTCCAACGTCCTTCCAGACTCCAGAGCATTCCGTCACCTTTACAATTAGGTACAGACCTCTACAAACGGCTTATACCTACAGCTTTAAGAACCTTGAAACTGGGAAATACAGGTGGTATGACAGGCTGTGATTTCCCAGGAAGGGTAATATTCAATAGAAATAAAAAACTAAGGGTTTGCAACTTTGTAGGAAATTCTTCATAGTTAAAAAATAAGGTACATCTATAATACTCCCGCAAATACACGCTAACGCCTAAGCAGTGGGAGTAAGCACATCATAAACCAGGGTGACCAACGTAATTGACTGGAAGCGTTACATCCATCCCTTCCTTCACAAGTAAAGCACTCTGCATTCGAACTCGAACACTCTGCCCTATAGGAGTCATATTTGGGGTCATCTGGCGGTGCGCAATTTCGAAAATAGATCCAAACGCCATCCACTAGAAGAATCCGTTGCAGTTACCTACTCTTACAAACTAATATTTTACCTTTCCTCTTCATTATTTGACACCGCGTGGATTTCCCTTCAAATGGTCTATCTAAGTTACAATCGTATATCGAAAGTGTGGCGTTATTGAAAACGCTGCCGCAATGTGGATCTATGTCGGATCTACAGTTCCAGCATTTGATTGAGTGCCCTGTAGTGAAAAATGCACTAGACTAGAAATAGTGAATTTTACCTACCGAAGTAAAACAAGGTCGACAAGATTAGTGTCGCTAAAACGTACTTTGAACACATTTCTATGTTACAACTCTACGTCAATTAGCAAGAACCGCAAGGCTAACACTGTATACATTTGGAGGTTGCCGATCATGACCGAAAGAAGACACGCGCACAGTCAAATGAAAAGAGGAAGGGTGAGATTTGGTTGGTTCTCTTCTCTTGAGTGCACTAATATAATTTCGGTACGTGGTATACAACGTTAAGTCTATGGAAGGGGTCCTAGGAGGCTAGGATGGAGCCCATAATTGTGATTTAGTTCATTGTGACACAATTTTAAAAATGTCTCACGAACATATTCGACCCAGTAGAAGAACAAAAAGAAAAATTACAATAATTTTTTTGTTGATTCTTTATTGTTATGTTTTATTACAAAGCAGCATCTGTATTATATTCTTTATTTAATAAAAGTCTCTTTCACTCTTGAAACTTATAATTTATTAGTACTTAATAACTTAACATTATTTTTATCATACCATGATTAATTCCATAGAAAGTTTTGTTACGTTATTTACGAAAAAGAGTGTTTGCGTTAGTTTATTTATGGTTTTTAACAGATATCAATTTATAATACATACACGCGTAGTTACTAATAGAGATGGAACAATCAACTCGAAGGGCGTGTAAGGCTAAAACCATTACCTTCCCTATAAAATTTAACAAGGAAAAAACTTGTCGTAAGTGTACAATTTTTAATAAATTTTGGGGCAGCAAAATACCAAACATTTAACTCTGTCCAGAAATAGAGCTAGACCCTCAATCAACGAGCAAGTAACCCTTTAAAATATAGCAAGGGCAGAGGTTGTCGCATATCTAGTAATAAGAGCGATTTCTAATAAATTTTAGTATGTAGAGTTCGAACAATTTATAGAGTCATCAAGGTCCAACCACCAGAAACAGAGATAGATCTATCAGGTCAAAGACTACATTATGTAACGCTAAAACCGTTATTTTCCCCCACCTTTGGATGGAACAAAATCTTTCGTGAGAGAACATTTTCTGGTTTTGCCCCACGTGAACTACTTGATATAAATCTATCGACCATCAGAAGACATCCATAAAGTGTAACTCCGCCACCTTTTTCATACAGTGCAGTTGCTCTTCTGGCTTACGCTTTTGTTTGTCAATAACCTTCATATATATTTTGCGGGTATAGGCATCCATTTTTGGTTTTCCTACACGAATCGTTGCCAAATTTTGGGTGGCGAAGGGTACCTCGGCGGGGATTAATTGATATTGTATCTCTATAACCGATACTGCAGATATTTAAAATTAGTAACTCCATCTTTGGTTTTCGCGATATTTTACAGTCAGCGATGCCCTTCCTGCCGCCAACCCTCACCGATTTATGATGGCTTCAGACAAGTACTGAGTTGGACAATGGGAAAAGCTAAGAGAGATAGGATTCGGAATGATGCAATTAGGGAGTTGGGCGAAATGACTGAATTTCAGAAGGTTTAGCGAAAACTATAAGGATTTGAGCATGTAATGAAAAGGGATGGAAGGAGCGTGAGGAGAGAAAACGTGCCAAGGAAGACCAAAGAGAAGGTGAAAGGACTATGTCTTGGAGGGTTTGAGAGAGAAGAAGTTGGATGCAGACAATGTGTGGGACATGAGTGGGTGGAAGAGGAGAAGGAGGAGGAGAGGAGTCAGGAACAGAACCCCTCAGAGAGAAAAGCTAAAGAAGAAGCAGATTCTGTCAATTCTAGGGCTATAACACGTGGCAGTATTACAGCTGTCCCGGAGAAAGTGCGGTAATATTCTAAAATTCCATTTGCGGAGTAGGTACTTAACAATTATAATAAATTTAGGGGAAGATAACAGCTCAAACGTAGTAAATGTATATATCTTAGGTATATGTATGTATTATAACAATATTTTAAAAAAAAATAACATAAGACAAATCATTCCTTTTAATAATTTACGCCGCCACTGGTAAGTAATCTGAAGCTATTAAAGTACACGATGATTGCCGACCGAGTGACGTCACCTTCGCGACCAGAAACGTTTTCCCTGGAAACCCAAGATTCAGTAGCCTCGATAGGCTTCCGAAAATTCCATAGGATTAACTATAGAAAAATGTATTCCGAAACACATTAAATGGAATCTTAAAACAAAATTTCTAACATAAACGCAAACTTATAAAGCTTGTTTGGACAAATTACTCCGCACGCAAGCGTTCGATAAATAAAATAAAAACATTTTAAAATTATTTTACAGCATTTTTTTTTAATATTTCTAATAATTTGGTGGTAAAATGGTCAGCGAGATACCAAGGCTTTTGAATCTTACCTTCCTTTAACACAAAAAACTTGATGACAAACAACAACAACTGAATCAATAAAATGACGAATTGCCGGTAGCTGTTCAAACGGTACAAACTTTTAACTTTTAATACCAAGAGAGGCAAATGTGGAGGACTGTCTGAATAAAAAAATGCGTGAAGAAATGCATTGCACTCGCCTTCCAACCATCGCGAACCAGGTTTGTTTTTTTTTTGTTAATTCGCAGTATTTCCTAAAGATCATTAAAAACCATCGCCAATGATAATTATTAGACTCAATAACTCCATATTTCAAAGAACGCGCCTCGCGTCCCCGCTTACGCAAAAAATAACACGAAACCCATTGTCTCTTCTAACAGCGATAAGAATACGTGCGTGCAGTATTCTTTGAAGTTTTGAATGAATGCACCAAAGGGTATAGGGTATAAGATTTAAATACCTTTGACATTTCCTGCATACATAAATACGCCAGCATTATCGTTGTATTTAAGACTTTGTCTTAAAGATGCTTCCTACTCACACGTCAACAACATTTCATATTGTTTATAATTTGGATTTCGCAGGTACCAACTTTTTCTGCTTCTGCAACAAGCCACTGAATGAAGGTGTATTATCTTATTCAACCGAACTAATTTTATTTACAAAGACGGTGATTTTTAGAAACAAACGTCAAGTGACATTTTCCTAACCATTTCACCGCTAGAGCGCGCCAAAGTTGGCCGGTCCGTATGGTGCAGTTCAGTTGAAGCTAGACTGTGGTACTAAGGGTCTCTGGTTCGAATCCAGGTTCGGGCATGGACATTTTTAAATGTATAGTTGGGTGGGTTGGTAGAGCAGCATTCGCTGAAACCCCACCCTCACAAAAATAAAGGCAAAAATAAAAGAAAAATATATTCCCGCGCCCAGTATACCTTATGTTGTATCCCGCCGAAGATCAAATTCACCGTTTCGATTCTGGTCGGGAAAATATTGCGTTGCCAATACTTACACACGTTGAATAAGTGTTAGTAAACACAAGGAAAACCTGTTAGTAATATAACAACCAACCAACACTTGAAAAACCTTACAAATTTAATTGAAATGACTTTTTATTATTTTTCATTCATTGACATTCGCCTACTTCTCTCAAAAATATTAGCTGTGTTGCGACACCTTAGTTAAGTAGGTACTAGTAAAGTCACTAGATATAGAAAGTACCGCAATCATCCGCCATTTTTGGGCAAATTTGCTGGCAACTTAAAAAAATTGACAAATAAAATCTGAATAGCTGTAATTTTTCTATAACCTAACTTCATAGTACTGTCATGTTTTATAAAAATATATACAGATATCTTCAAATAGGTGGAACAATCCCTAACATTAAAGTTACTAGAATCTGGTAACTTCCGCCATTTTTGGGCAAAAATCATGCGTTCTCTCTCTAACACACGAGCCCAATGGATTGCGGTACTTTCTATATTTAGTGACTTTAGGTACTAGGTACATCAATAATAATGAATAATATGGGAAAATAATTAAAAAATGCAGACAAACGAATAAAATGCAAGTACTACTAAGGTAGCTATGGGATATTACCGGCTTTTCTGCAGAAGGATCTGAAACCGCTGCTCCTGCCTCCCTTATTTTAAGGTAGGTATATCCTCGAAAGCTGAAGGAAGGTGAGAGAGCCTCGTGTTAAGGCTGGAGAGAGGAATGTCTGACGAAGGGAAGGGGGGGGGGGGCATTGGGAGCATTTTTAGATATCGCGGGTAGGTACGTTCGATTCCATTAGTGAGGGTGCTGAAGGCTCTTTGACATTGATGGGTCAATCGTAAGATGGATCCGCGCGATTGTTGGAAGCAAAGTCATTATATCATCAATCGGGATGACGGAGATAAGAATAGCTATGGCATCTCCTTTAACCCGAAAAACACCCCTTTACGAATAGAGACAGAGCGAAACTTTATGGGCTCACTCTTCGAGGACACAAACTGGATTTGACCAGGAGTTATCGCAGACTCCTGCCTGACCTGGAAAGGGCACATTGATCGAATAAGCTTTGATCAGAGACATCAGTTCCTTGGACGCAATTATCTGGAACAGGGGAGTGTGACGCAACTTAGCTTAAACAGGGGGGTAAACCTTGCCAAAGGACAGTACAGTAAAGAAACATATATTTAAAAAGTTATTCTGGTTGCATAAAATTAGATGCCGTTTAGAAGAGATTTTGTCATTTAAAAGTAGACATAGGGAAAAAAATACACGTAAATCCCTATGTCTACTTGTTAATAAATAGCACTGTATATGAAAAATGTAGGCAATTTTGTCTACTTCCATTTTGCAAAGAATATCGAAAAAACGCTTCCTTTCTAAGATATATTAGGCCAAAAACTGAAGAAAGTGACGACATTTGGGCAAAAACTACCCAAAAATAATGTTCCGAGCCCAATTTTTGTCTGCAAATTTCAAATGCATGGCCGCAAAAACATAGACTATAGCAAAACTTTCTTCTGAAGTTAATAATTTTTTTCATAATATGCCTAGGCCTCCAGATAACATTGAATATTTCTCTTGTATACCTATAATATTCAAAGAGGTTTATTTAAACATTTAAATATACCTAAAATATATACGTCCCTTGTAAGATATACCTACTAGGTATATGCGAATGGGAATATCTCAGATATTCTCAGAATAAACTAAACAGATTTTTCATTTATTTTGAATATTCTTAGAACATGATGCGTATATACCACTTGGGCTATTCTGAGAATAAGCTTACAGAATATTCTCAGTTTATTCTAAATATACTATTTGTATAATGAGGTATATATTATAGATATTCTGAATGTATCCGTTTCTTCTTAATATTCTTTTAGAACATGCTCTACACTTCATCCATCACCACTACACAGATGCAGTTTGGAAGTATGAATATTCACAAGACATTCATGAGCTGATTAGAATAGGTATGTAGTGTATAATATTATACAACCCACAAGACCATCAACGGTTTTATTGACGACTTATAATAAAAGTAATAATTCTTACAATTCAAAATAAGCGTCTAATTATACTTAAAAAAGACATTTTGTGTGCTGTAATTAAGGTTGTAATAAAACGAATATTCCGAATAACATCCAGAATATTCAATACTGAATAATGAAGGAATATATTAGTGGTGCGTCCTTATGTAGGTATTGCTGAATATTCCAGTCGAAAGTATATAATGCATGGAGCATTTTCTGGATATTTAGAATATTCACATACCTTCTAGTGAATACTCTAAGAATATCCAATGTTATCTATTGTTTTTATAGGTGTATATACGTGGAGGGTACAATGTACAAGAATAAAGGAAGAAGACGAGTGAAGGTGGTAGACGATTTGAAAGAGGGGGGAGGATATGCGGCTATGAAAAGAAAGTCCAGGGTTAGAGAGGAGTGGAGGCGACAGGCGACACAGGATGTGTGTATTCACAAATAATCGACTCACCCTATACATATACAACCGCGCCTCATTCTTTCATGAGTAATTCGGTCACGTGATGTTTATTTGCATCGATTTGTACGTTAAGGTTTTTTAAAGAACTCTTTTAATGTAACTACCCCAATAAGATGGATTTTAGCTTAAAACTGTTAATATTAATCACCGCCCTTATTTTAATATTTACCACACAGTTAAGTGAGTATTAATTGTTTCGAGAAATTAGGTTAAGTTACACCCCAATTTCTTTTAGGTAGGACCATTAAATGTTGGGATTGCAGAAGCGATATCGACCCGAGGTGTGCGGATCCCTTCGATAACCGTACGTTTTCGATGACGTTCTGTCCAAGCGTCGAGTCGCAGTTCTTCGTCGGCATGGAGGCGACACTGTGCCGAAAGATCAGGCAGAAAGGTGAGATTTACAAGGTGCCGCCGACAGTTCTAATTGGATCTTGTAGTGCACGGTGTCTGGAAGTACTTTCGGAGCTGCGCCTTTTTGGGAGAGCCCGGTATTGCCGGCGACGAGAGGTTTTGCTTGATGAGAACCGGGACTTATAATATTTTCATGGAGTATTGCACTTGTAATAGTAAAGATGGTTGCAATTCGTCCAGTAGGTTGAAGATGTCCTCTTTGTTAATTGTCTTGGTTCTCCCCATTATTTTACTCAATTAATGGGGCCTGGTGGTGTTTTAAATATGTACAAATCTTTGAAGAAGCCGGTAACAAGTGTCTAATTAAGACTGCAACTGTTTTAAACAAGAAGCAATTAGTATTATGTACCTAGGCTTAAGATAGAATCTCTATTGATGTTAATTGAGTCCGTCCTTTTTCTACTTTACAATTTTTAATAAAGAAATTTTACATGCTGTCTCTTCGTCTTTTGTTAACCATCAATGAAATAGGGGAAGAGAACCCTAATGTAGGCCCGAGGGTAACTATGTTCAGCATCAGGCTCTAGGCCTCGTGTCAGCTGCCAGTCTTCACATCAAATCTTTGTTTTTTCTTATTTATGAAACCCTTCTGGAATGTTCACTTGGGAGAACCATTTGTATGCTTGCTATGCATTTAGGAAAATACGGGTTTATGTACAGAAAGATTTCCTCTCAAGATATTACACAAATAATAGACTTACATATAAAATTGTGTATAAAATGTCAGATATAAACATTTAACAGTACATAACAAATAGATCTTACAAGCTAAAATAAAAATGGACGGATTACAAACTTCTAAAATTACAGTCACAGAAGGCACTTTTGTACAGATGGGATCCCTTGCAAAATGAAAAAAAAAATACTGACGAATTAATTTTTGTGCATTATGGGCGTTAATTACTTATACTCTACATGTTGTAATGTACAAATATGGTCGTCAACATCAACGGGACCAGTATCCTGAGACTTAAACTTAGACGGCCGCTTCCGTTACACTCATCTTCTATACAGTAACACTCTTCCCAATAATCTCCATTCTCGTACACCCCCCAATTGCACACACCGGTGACACCCATTTCGGCAACCGAGGCACACCGCCGAATCACCTGTCGCCATCTCCCATCCCAGACGAAGCCGATGGGCCCTTGCTGCGTAACCTTCATGCAGAATGATCCGGGCATGTGGCTCTCCTCGCTATTGCAATCGACGGCGATGTGCTGCGACTTATCGAACTTCTTGTAGGCGCCGCAGTTATCTTCGTCCTTCGGATCCTGGCCGGAGCTGCACTGAAAGCATCTAATCGCTTCCCCTAAAAGCAAAACTTGTTAATGACCACACCTACTTATTAACATTATGCAAAAGTTGTTTACCTGTCGTTATGAACAATGCTAGAAGAAGACACGTTAGGACACTAATTAATTCCCTCATATTTATTACTTTCAAAAATTAATTATTAAAAGATTAGAGAAATGAAGAAGATAATAAACAAAGTAGTAAACATAACCACACTTTTAACGGAAACCTGAATCACTCTAATGGCAACATCCAGGGGCGTAGACCTGTACAACTTATTGAGGGGGCTCCCATTTCTCACGAACTATACAGGGTGTTTACGGTTTTCTCTGTATCTTTTTAAGGGGCGACAGTACAGCTCAAAAGAAGTCGAACCCCAAAACACCTTAGTAAGAGTTATTTAATAAGCAAGATAAAATTGGTATTATTTTTTACATTTAAGGATTAATTAATTAATTATTATATAATTAATTAATGAATAGTAAAGGTTAATTATTGATAACAACTTATACCAGTCAAATAAACAAACTTAAAAACAATTGGACAATGCTGTTTAAGTAGTAGATTGCTAGATTTGTACACAGATTAATCGTTTAATGTAAAAACAAATATTATTTCGCTTATTAAATAACTTTTACTAAGGTGTTTTGGGGTTTGTCGACTCCTTTTGAGCTGCACTGCCGCCCCTTAAAAGGATACAGAGAAGACCAAAACACCCTGTGTTTACAATTAACACAACGTTCATTATTAAGAATCGAAATTTTAGACTGAAAATCTTTGTAATCACACCTTATGTCTGTCCGTCCTGTATTGTTACCGCGCTATAACTTTATTAATAAAGTGTAATTCTATTTTTGGGAATCAGTACTTAGCTTATGATGGGTTTGACCAAAGAATTTTAATATAATATTTAAATTTAAAATTAGTATTGAGCATCAATTTCATTGCAAAAACGTCGAAATGCGTTATTTAGATGCCCAATACTTTAATCTGACAAATCGACAAAATACTTAGGTGTTCGATGATTAAAAATCCAAAATCTAGCCAGATAGATTTTTGGTTTTGCTCCCTCACTTAAGTTTAGTGTATGTTTATTAATTTTATCAATTAACAAAAGAATGTGATTTTGAAATCAACGTGATACAAGTCTACCCACAAGCAATAGACTACAACAATTTGTGCTTACATATTTCAGAATAATTAAAAATGATTGATTATACTGATCAATCCATTAATCAAATAATCGCTTAAACAAATAATCGATTAATCAAATAATCGGTTAAACAAATAATCGGTTAATCAAATAATCGTTTAATCAAATAATCGTTTAATCAAATAATTGTTTAATCAAATAATCGATTAAAATGAAATAATCGATTAATCAAATAATGGATCAATCGAATAATTAAATAATCGATTAATTTAAAAAATCGGTTATTGATTATCGTTTGATTTTAATTGATTTTTTTGCCCAACGCTATATCCATCACAATTCACATTCACAAAAACATAAGACGAGCAACTACATTATGAAATCACTATCTTTTGCGCACCCTTGCATAGGCGCCTTTAAATAGATTAATTAAATTAAAAATAAGCAGAAACGAGAACTTAAAATGAGATTGAATTAAAAGTACCTACGTAAAAGCGACAAATATAACAAATAATTGCACAACTGTGACTGCTACTTTTTGACTAAACCGATGGTCGAGATAAGAAATAATCAATTAAAATTAAGTTAATGATCAATTAATCAAACAATCAGTAATCGATTATTTATTATTTATATAATCAGACAATCGATTAATCATATAATTGAATAATCAAATAATCGATTACTCGAATAAGCAAATACTCGATTAATTAAATAATCGACTAATCGATTTAACAAGTAATCGATTAACCGATTAATTTAAAAGAATAATCAATCCCGATTATCGATTATCTTTTGATTATAATCGATTAATACACTCCATTAATACAGCCCTTTGAATTTTCTTTCGAAATTGGTTTCTAGTCCACAAATTTTGATTGGGAAGTCCGATCGAAAAAGTACGAATTGTTTTGGATTCTACGCACCAAAATTAATAAGAAAAAGTGTTTTACCGAGACATTTTGGGGCAGTCGATTTTTGGTAAAAAAGGAAGGTTATACACTGCCTTTTTTTGAGCCCCGAAAAAAAATGTCTCAGATCGACCTGGAAAAAAATTTTCTTATAGAACGTGGCCTGTAGAATCCATAATTTCAAACAGTTCCAAGATTGGGCTACTAGTTCAAAAGTTACAGCCCTTTGAATTTTCTACGAACCAAAATTAATAAGAAAAAGTGTTTTCCCGAGATCTTGGTGCAGTCGATTGTCAATATCTTGTGTAACATCTCTGCACAATACATCCTCCACCATTTCTAGATCAGAAAAAAATCAGGGAAAATAAAAATCGGCATCAAATTATTGTAAAGTAAAAATATCCAGCACTGAACTGAACAGAACTAAATGATACGATTACACTCTTGGATCTTTGACATTAACAACTAATGATTGTTCGACAGTTTAGTTGACAACAGAAAAGTTACTGGACTATAAATTTAGAGCTGTTAAATTGCTTGGTTTTGAGAGGTGAGATTTTTTGATCGCTAGAGAAGGGTTCGCGCCATAAGGGATGTTGGTTTAGAGAAGCGTTGTTCTCGGAGAGCATCCTTGCAGAGTCAAGTAGCATAGCAGAAACCTTGATAGCACCAGGTGATTTTGTGCCACAAATCCTAGCAAAATCTTTTATAAAAGAAAAGTATATAACACTAGTAGATGTGGCAGTGATGACGTAGGGAATTAAATATACCGGATTCCATTAATTTTAGAAATTTGTTGTTTATTGTAGTAAATTACGATAATTATTGGGGGGGGGGGGGGGGCGGTTATATTGTTTGTACATATATGTATAATACAAACATCAAAATTATTGGCAACAGAATTAAACAGTGACTGGCTGTTACAGAAGCTTTTCAAAGAAAAATAATCACAATCTTTTGGGAGTCTTGAGGCAAAGTTATTGAACCAATATTGGTAGGTATATAAAAATCAATAGGCATCAACAAAATAATTGAGTTAGAATCTGGATGGTACAGCGCGAGCCCCCCCTTAGACGTTATCTCGAGACCAGTCATTACACTCCAGAACAATCTGCCTCGCACTTAAAAAATGATTAGAAAGGTCGCGATGTGTAGAAGACTGCGTGTTTGGAATATCTTCAATTAGCAACTCCTCCTAGCTTTATCGTACCCTTGTAGGTTGTTTCTAGGCTTTCATATTGGCGTCGCGCGGAGGAAGAAATTTAAACGTGGAATTGAGATAGTGGGTCTCATTCAGAAACACGCAGAATGGAAAGAGACCTTTCCGAAACACCGCAGAAAACGGAGTGATCTTACATTTAGAAGTTGATCTGTGGACTGTTATTGTGTGAGGGGAGCACCTAGGAGTGTTGATTTCGTGATACCCATCACTTCAATCCCAATAGCGAAATTACTGAAATTCTTCATAGTCATCATGAAAATCCTCCAGGAAAATTCTGAAATCTTCAAAAATTGTGCCGTCTTGATTCCAATGCCAGCAATTCCTTCACTGGATCCGTATTCAGACCTTCAGTGGAGGTCATGACTCATGATCACGTGGTTGTGGCGTTCGACATTTTGTATCCATTTCATCAACGACACACATATAGTGGATGAGAGTGAAATTTTCATCTTGGAAGATCTCCATGATATAGCTCGATCTTCACTCTGACGTCATAGTACTCCGAATCATTGATTCCTACACTCCCGTATTATCAGTAATCATATGGTACAGGTAGCCTACTAATTAATCGCGTTACATATTTTGTTCTACCAGCTGGATAACCAACAAAAGAGAATCGCGGTGTGTATTCAAGTAAACCTTGACCGTGTTTTCCCTGTTCGAACCAAAACAGGTTGAACGTAATACATCGGTTACCATCTGCGACGCTTATCTCCAAGGAAAACACACCTCAAAGCCTCTTTAGTATAAATATTATTTGCTGGGTACAGATAACCTTGATCTGTCCACATGTTAGTAGATGGCCCCCGTGGTTCTCAGAGAACGCATTCATTCCCATTTCATGAGATCATAAATTTTGTAGATATTTTTATTTTAAGCGAATAAAGGAAAGGACAACGTTATCAGTCAGATAAATGATAAACGTTTTATCTACGGTACAGTCACTCACTCGACTCGTTCAGTTGAATTAATTATGCCGTCGATACCTGAAGGAATTTTAGACAAGTTGACGTGTGTGCAGTGTCACGAATGGTTATCGTGCGGTCCCATTCGCCTGTTACCCAACGGGGGTAGCATCTGCGGGAGATGTCCTAGGTTCGAGGGTCCCAGGGATCAGTATCGGCATTTTGCGTTCGAGGCATTGGCGTGTTATTTCAAATTTCCGTGCAGGAACTGGGGGGACGGCTGCCAGGAGTGGATGCCGTTCAAGGGGGTAATGAACCACGAGAAGAACTGCTCCTATGGATCCACGTGCAGCGTGCTTTGTTGCCACCCTTTGGCCTTCATCAAATCTAAGAGGCACTTAGACGCTCACTCGGGTAACGATGTTACGATGCCTCTAGGTTTACTTTACGCTTGCCGTTTCAGCTATCAAACTGGAGATCATACCTGATGGAGTACTAGAATATCTACGATGCACCAATTGCGCCGGGTACCTGTCTTACACCCCAATCTACGTTTGCCGCGACGGCACGAGCATTTGCCAAAGATGCACCTCGCAGCTACCACAACCAGATGGCGAATTCATCCGCGATTTTAGTTTCGAACGGTTCGTCGACATGATGATCTTCCCCTGCATATATCGCTACAGAGGATGCACGCTCCTGTTTAAATTTGGCCAAGAAATGAAAAACCACGAACTGGATTGTCCCTACGGTAAACCGTACAAACGCGAACCGACAGCGCCCAAAAGCGACCCCCAGGAGGATATCCAAAGGAAAGGAGTCATCAAGACCCTATCGGGGCACATTTACGCCACGATTACGCCTAACGCTCCCTTATTCGCGGCACCATCCACCTCAAACAAAGAGCAGCAGGCGCTGTTTTTGGACGAATTTCAAAAGCATCGAGAGAACTTGTCGAGCAAATGGGGGCGGTACAACGAAGACGATTACCAAAACGAGTACGTCAATCAGGTTACGCATCTTAATGTGATCGACGAACTGAAGATCAAGCAACAATACAGAAATTCCAGTGGAAACAATGGAGATATGAACGCGTATTACAACCACACAGAGGCCCAAAAAGCAGATTATTCAGTTTACAATCAACGCGCTTAGTTTTTTAGTGTTTATAGCATAGACCTCCACTTAATTTATATATATTAACAATCTACAATTAGAATACTTCCCGCGTGTTCTGTCTTTCTGTCTGTCTCCCTGCCTATTTTATGTAAAAATGCTGTGCACATTATAATTTTTGATTTTATTTTCCTCTTTAGACTCGGACACCCAAACCGAATTTTGGTTTTATGTCCGTTCAAAACCTCTTAAATTTTTTTGGTGTCAGAAGAAGAAAAAACGACAGACTTTTTTCAACCCTCTAACGCCAAAAAATTCACAGATTTATGCATTCCAAAACTAGATAGTGTCTTTTTAAGTAATCTTTGGAGAAAGATTAATTGTCTGCTCCCGAAAAGGGCGAAGAAGCACAAGCGATCTTCTGTTTGTCATTTAGCCCTTTATGCATCATTTTTTAAGGACTAGCGCACAGGAGGCGTTGGATAGGAAGTGCCGGCTCGAGGGTAAAACCTCGGGTCAAGCGGTCCCTGTGTGTAAAAATGGTTGTGTCTGCATTTTTGGCTCAGGGGAGCCACCCGACCTCAGGAACCAAGCGTCTCAAATAGGAGGGAAGCACTCCAGGGTCTGGCTCAGAGCACTTTGAGAAGCCTAGAGTTTTGGAGCACCAAAAGATACGGACGCACCACGACCCTATGGGCAAGTCGTTGCGGCGAGGTTCAGGGTGCCCAACTGCCCATTGTTCCTGTATCACACCCGGAGGTGGACATCACTGAGCCTCAGTCGAGGTGCATTATGGCTGCACTCCACGGGTTGGAGGGAGGGGAGGTCCTTTCCTCGGATGGAAAGGTTCCGCTGGAATCCGCAGGGTGCCATTGTGGACAAATGCGAGGACCAGTGGACCTTGGACTGGATGAAGGGGACCGTCCCTCTTATTGAGCCCTTGGATTGAGTGTCTGTGTTTTACGGATTCCTGGATGATACGGCCACGATCTTGAAGCGCCTGAAGGGGAAAAATCCTGGTTTCAAGACGAGTCTATGGAGCACGCTCTTCCGCAGGGATGAGCTTGGTAGGAAACTCCTCGCGTTTGATTGCGCTGAGGCATCCTATTAGGGACTCCAGCGGCAGAACTTTCAGGCACACGTGAGCGCCCTGAGAGATCGAGAAAGATGTCGTCAAGACCCTTGAGATACTTTGTAGATTTATAAAGAAGCTATTAAAACCTCCAATAGCCGTTGAAGGCTTTTAAAAGCCCTTTGAAGATGGCGACCGCTTTTAAAAGCTGTCAAAGACCTTTTCCAAGGCCGTAAAAAGTCTCAACGTCTTCCTCAAAGATAGTAGGTATATTAAATAGTCTATTAAAGACTTTTAACGAGGCCCAAAAGTCCTTAAGGGCGGTGAGATGAGTTGCATGAAGTGAAAGCCTTGTTAAATAACAATAAAGCACCGTGAGAGCTATTAAAAGCTCTTGCAAAAATTCTTAAATATTCTTAAGGAATAATTATTAACAATTAATAATGATTAAATACTTTACTGTCTCAGTAAAATTCTTAAACACTACACTTGACGGTTTTTGAAGATTAGGGATGGGGAGGGGTGTGCGTTAAAGGCACTTAAAATTTTTAGAAGCTTTACGACTCGGAAAGTCGCCAAGAAGAATCTTTTGAATAAAGAAGGCCCATAAATAGTTTCTGACTCTTACAGCTATTAGTCGCTCTAAAACACCTTTCTATGTCTTTATAAACTTTAAAAAAGTTCCCAGTTGCAGTTTGGAACGGCTTAGTTTACAGGGGTTGAAAGACCACTTACATAATATAAATTTTATTCTCTACGACTTAAAAATTTTACTGTAACAATTAATCTATGTAATTAAATAATTAAATCCACGGCTAGCTCAGTAATAAATAAACTTTTAATGGCTCTTACCTTGCGGAACGTTGCTCCTTTATTTTCCCTTGTAATTTTCAAGTTAAAACCTGGATGCTCTGGTTTGAGTACTCTCAAATAAATACTCATATAAATTAGACTGTTTGAATATGTTTTTAAATTATATATACATTTCTATGTTTGTTTGTTGACGTGTAAATTTGTTGTGTATACAAATGTTACTTACAAATAAAAATGATATGGTATGATATGCTGTGTAATTCATGTGACGAATACAAAATGAAATTATTTCGATTCTTGATTCGTGATTATGTAGATCAATAATTATCTAGATTTTTTAATAATTGTAAATAAGTGAAGGCCTGGTAATTTTTATATTCAAAGGATTTACACACCTCTGACTGGTAAATAAAATTTAACCGATACAAAAGAATGGTATCAAAATCGTGTGGTGCAGTTCAGTTAAAGCTGAACTGTGGTGCTAAGCGTCCCTGGCTCGAATCCGAGTTCGGACATGGATATTTGTAAATGTACAGGTGGGTTGGGGCAATCTTGGCTGAAACACCGCCCCTCAAAAATAAAGGCAAAATAAATAAATAAAATAAAATAATGTTCGCTCGTATGTTAAGTTAAATAAATAAATCTGCCAACCGGTCGATTCCGCTACAGCACGAAGTTCCCTTTTTGCATAAATACGCCGCTGTGAAATCTTCTGTATCCCTCGATTATACGAACTCGTCTTGAAACTTTTAGCCAAAAATAAATATTACGCGTTCGATTTACATAGATTCGATTTAAACGTTCAGCGGAGAATCCAATACTTCGCGATCTGAAATGCCACAAGCGACTTGCATAGATTCGGTTCACGAAGAATCCCATTCTCCCATCCAATTTTCCCTAATATATTCGCCAATTCAAAAACCCGAAAAGGACCCAATGCAAACCAAACTTCGGTCACCTTCTTTATACATGCAAAGGTATAGCAGAAAAGCCATTCCTAATGCTCCATAAGAACGGTAACACGGCGTGTCTTGCTTGCACACTCGTTTCTTATCCAGAAGCGCTTCATTCTATTGCAATGTACGCGGTACACGTATAAAATTTCCTATACCGAAAAAAATTGTAAATTCAAAACCAAATCTTTCTAAGCCTAAACCTGTTGTCAGATGCCGGAGGGACTAGAAAATTCTAAGTTTTAGTTTTGAATTGCTTTGAGCTAATTGGGCAGGTGTTTTGTGACTGGCATAGTGACCGAATGCCATTGCACATAGGAGCATAAATCGATACCAAATGTCAGAGAGGATTCATCTACAGTTCTTGTAAGTCATCGTTAAGAAGGAAATTAGTGCTGGAAGTTGACGCCAAGAAGTGAGCTCAATTCTCGCATCTAGTCCGTAATACCTAGAGCAATCAAAGAACTTCTCAAGCTCGGTATATATTTAGATAACTAATTCCTGAAGGGTCCTGCTCATGTCCATGAACTTGGCAGGCCTACTACAGCAGACCATAGTTCTACTTACTCATATCGTTAGTGTTCCGTTAGTGCACGTTAGTGCCGCTGAAGAAATCGTTAGTGCAGAAAAGGAAACTTACTATTTTAAAAAAATATTTGTGGGCCTGCTAACTTCATGCCAGCAGACCCATTTGAGAAAATCGATTCAATCTTTGCACTAGTTAAACTAGCAGCGTTAGTGCTCGTTAGTGCCGCCAATATAAACGTTAGTGCTCAAAGTGCAACAGCTCAAAACGTCGTAAAAAGGGGTCTGCTAACTTCATGCAGCTGACCCACATTTGTCAAATTGGCTCAGTCCTAATGCAATTTGAAGCGGCTCGTTAGTGCTTCACATGCGAACGTTAGTGCTGCAAGGGATCCGCGTCAAAAAGGTACCAAACCACCTCAAAATTAAACTTGACTTATTGGGACCTGCCAACTTCACGCCAGTAGACCAACGAGTGAAATCCGTTTGATTTTCTACTTTAATCGACCGGTAAGTATTAGTGCTCGTTAGGGCCGCCAATATAAACGTTAGTGCTCCAAGTGCAACAGCTCAAAACGTCATAAAAAGGGGTCTGCTAACTTCATGCAGCTGACCCACATTTGTCAAATTGGCTCAGTCCTAATGCAAATTTGAAGCGGCTCGTTAGTGCTCGTTAGTGCTTCACATGCGAACGTTAGTGCTGCAAGGGATCCGCGTCAAAAAGGTACCAAACCACCTCAAAATTAAACTTGACTTATTGGGACCTGCCAACTTCACGCCAGTAGACCAACGAGTGAAATCCGTTTGATTTTCTACTTTAATCGACCGGTAAGCATTAGTGCTCGTTAGTGCCGCCAATATAAACGTTAGTGATCAAAGTGTAACAGCTCAAAACGTTGTAAAAAGGGGTCTGCTAATTTCATGCAGCAGACGCACATTTGTCAATTTGGCCCTGTCCTAATGCGAATTTAAAGCGGCTCGTTAGTGCTTCACTTTCGAACGTTAGTGCTGCAAGAGATCCTCGCCAAAAAGGTACCAAACCACCTCAAAATTAAACGTGGCTTATTGGAACCTGCCAATTTCACGCCGGTAGACCAACAAACGAAATCCGTTTAATTTTCTACTTTAATCGATCTATTAGTATTCGTGATCGTTAGCGTCGCAAAAAAAAGCGTTAGTGCTCAAAGCGCCCCTTCAAATTCGTATTAGGACAGGGCCAATTTGACAAATGTGGGTCAGCTGCATGGAGTTAGCAGACCCCTTTTTACGACGTTTTGAGCTGTTGCACTTTGAGCACTAACGTTTATATTGGCGGCCCTAACGAGCACTAACGCTGCTAGTTTAACTAGTGCAAAGATTGAATCGATTTTCTCAAATGGGTCTGCTGGCATGAAGCTAGCAGGCCCACAAATATTTTTTAAAAATAGTAAGTTTCCTTTTATGCACTAACGATTTCTTCAGCGGCACTAACGTGCACTAACGGAGCACTAACGATATGAGTAAGTAGAACTATGGTCTGCTGTAGTAGGCCTGCCAAGTTCATGGACATGTCCTGCTCTACTCGTAATCTGTTTCGAGTACGATACTTAATTAGTACATCCCTTCAGAAGAAAGTAATGGACTCCATCAACGTTAGCGTTGCAAAGTAGGTCATAACTCATCAGAAATTACAAGGATACTAATCAGATAGGGAAGTTCACAAACTATAGATATATAAACACATACAGTGATATTGATTAAGAAGTAGACATAGGGATTTACGTGTATTGTTTTTCCTTACGTCTATTTATAAATGACAAAATCTCTCCTCTAATTTTATGCAACCTTCTTGAAACAAATAAAGATTTTGCCTCGGATTAGGCTGTCGTATTAATTAATTTGAATATTGTTGCTTTCGCTTCCGTATTTTTATTTTCATTCGTGTGCGATGTATTCAACTGAATAAAAAGTTGATTTTGATAATTGGTATAATAATAGTACCGGTAAAAGTTTAAGGAGAGTAAGAGATTTATTTTCTGTGAAGCCAAAGCAACAATATTCAAATTAATTAGTATCTAAGTCCTAAGACAGATCTTTAATTGTTTTAAAGAGTTATTTTGAATGCATAAAACTAGACGCACTTGAGAAGAGATTTTGTCGTTTAAAAGTAGAGGGATAGGGAAAATCAATACATGTAAATCCCCATGTCTACTTCTTAATAAATAGCACTGTATAGCCCTGAAAGGACAAACTAGTTATCAATTAAGACCTAAAGTTGCCCCAAATGATTGTCGCTCCTCGGTGTTATCAACTTTTTGTGACCCGGTGCCCAATTTCTGATAATGATTTGGCAGCTCGCTGTTGGCAGATAAGCCAAAGGCGTCGGCACCGGTAACGGTGAATTTAACCCATTGTTCTGCAATGTAAACTGTACGTACTGTACAAGAACTGGTATGTAATGTAAAACGTGTATGGACTGTGCCCCCCCCCCCCCTTAATGACATAAAATTTAACCTACCTCCCAAATAAGAGGATTAGTAGATGAACGATTGTCGATGGAAATTACAGCCGAAACTTGAAGAAGGGACACGATAATCAAGTCAAGTCAAAATGGCGGTACTCATGGAAAAAGGTAACACGCACATGTATAACCTCCACTTGGAGCACAGGCGAATCTCATCCGACTATCACTTCAGAATTATGAACTCAATCGTCAGAGATCAATATATTCGAAAGATGGCAATTAGAACTCCATACGTTCTACCTTACGCTTTCAGCTTTTTTTTTATAATCGACGTGCACTTCGGTGCCGTTTAAGAAGAAAAAGAGTTGAATATTGACACCGAAAATTTAATCAAAGAATGCGCTCAAATACTTGCGCGGAAAGCCCCTCTAGTGGGTGGGCGGGGGTTACGGGGGTTCTCCGACAAGTAATAATACCGTGACCAATAATAATGCTACGTAAATATGGAGAAAATACATCGTTACCATTATTGGGCGTTAGTTTGAGGTAAGACAGTGGCGTACGAAAGTACGAAATTGCGTTCGTTCATAACCAAACGGGAGATGAAGATTATCCGTCGCTACTATGTTCGTTACACGCTATAAGATATGCTTTAAAATTTTAAATATAGAAAGTTGATCAAAGGGGAAGATTCGGGCATTGCCTTTTAAGTACAGCTGTCCGTATTTCGCGAAGTTTTACTCCTTTATTTGGAGATTCTAGACAAAAAACGCGCATGTAATGCATCTCAAAGGGACTATACCTTCGAATTGAGAACGGAGTAATTGGCAAGGAAAGGTTATACTTATTCGTAAAATATCAATACCTAAGGGTTTCCTCCTGATTTACTTGTACAACGTTACAGCAAAATTAGCATGGGTCTTTGATGTTAGAACTGAACCCATTTAAGTCCAGGAGTCCAGTAGAACCACCTACAATGTTTTAATGGACCCAGTGTTTGAACTGCAAGCAAGTGACAACATAAATCCCAGTATATTCAAATCTTGAAATTTGCAAAAATGTACCCTACGCTCTCGCATCGTTAACATGAAGCAATAAGAAGTAATCTGTCTCAGAAGGTTAAGAAACCTTGATAATCGGTCTATTTTTAGAGCGGGATTTATTTTTCTCTGGTAACACGATATATAGCTGTAATGTTAACTCGCCAAAAATCAGTGATCAGTGAGTGGTACGAGTATAAACATACAATTTAGTGAAAAATCGAACGAAAATGTGGTTCGTTCTTATAGTTCTTGCTCTCGGTTTGTACATCTACCGGAAAATTTTCCAACCGCTGCAATTTTGGAAGGTACGCAATATACCATACGAAAAACCGCTGCCGATAGTAGGAAATCTGCTAGACTCAATACTTAAACGAAAATCATTGAGCGAAATTTTGACAGAACTGTATTTCAAGTATTCCAAGCACAGGTAAGAACGGAGGCAATCGCTCCATGTTTGCAAAGCACCACGTTGTAGATACTTCGGTTTCTTTTCGTTTCGTACTCCGACCCTTATGATCAACGACGTGGATCTGGCGAAACAGATCTGCATTAAAGATTTCGAATACTTTGCCGACCATCGCATATTCATTCCAAAAGGTATTGACAAAATGTGGGACAAACTGATCTTCATCAGAGAAGGTAACGGAGAGCGCGTCGGTAACGATAGTTTCAAGTAAATCTCTGCAGGTGCCGAATGGCAAGAACATCGGAAAATTTCCAGTGCCTCCTTCACCCTGGGCAAATTACGGGTCATGTTCTCCAACCTGAGCAAGTGCGCACAGCGAATCATGACCAGTCTTCACAAAAACAACAAAATGGTCACGGGAAACATGCGTCCTTTTATAATGAAGATCGCTAACGACTTTACGCTCGACGCCTTCATGGGAATTCAGTGCGATTCGTTTAATGATCCAGACAATGCGTTACTGAAGGTGGCCGTCAACACGTACTTAAACCCACGAATGAAGGGATTCCTGTTTTTCGGTACTGCCTACAATACCTTCCCTTTCTTGACGAAGGTAAGTAATCGGAGGTCGTGATGCAAGTTGCTTATAAATTCTTCAGTTTTTCCAATGGAAGTTCTTCCCAGACACGGGACGAGATTTTTACCGGAAAATCGTTAGAGAAACCCTGGAATACCGCGAGAAGCACAACATTACGCGCATCGATATGTTGCATTTACTCAACGAAGGTCTGTTGGAAAATCTCAGGGAGAACAAGAAAGATCCGGATAACGACGAGGTGCAAGACGAAATTGTATCCCAACTGATGGGAATGTACTTCGCCAACTTTGACAGTTTCACTCTAACGCTTTGCAATTGCATGTACGAGTTGGCCTTAAATCCGGACATTCAGGAGAGGCTAATCAGAGAAATTGACGAGACCTGGGCAAACTGCGAGGGTAACTTACCTCACGACACTTTAATGGGGATGACGTACATGGATATGGTGTACAAAGGTAACTTTCGGCGTTTCTGTTCCATGTGATTTCACGCTAATTTTTAGAGCTAATGCGTTTGAGAGGCAACGCTATACTTGCCGAGCGTATCGTCACGAAACCGTACACCATTCAGCCGGTATTACCTCACGAGAAGCCGGTTCACCTGAAAGTCGGACAGGACATTACCTTTCCGCTTTATTCGTACATGCGCGATCCGAAATTTTTCCCCGACCCTTACAAATTCGACCCCGAAAGATTTAACGAAGAAAATAAGCACAAGATTGACAACCGAGCCTACTTACCCTTCGGCGAAGGACCTCGGAAGTGCATAGGTGAGATCTTCCATCGCGCTCAATTGTAGCTCACGCCAAATTTTCCAGCATTCCGATTGATTTCCGTCGAGATAAGACTGATGCTGTTCCATCTATTGTTGCGATTTAGATTTGTGCCCACCGAGAAGACTGTCATTCCATTCGTGGAGAGCAAACGGCACAATATACTTACCAGCGAGCATGGATACTTCATCAATATGGAACCAAGGAAGGACATTGACGAAACTTATTTTTAAGTGAAAAGTAGACTGTAATTGGATTTATATGTGCAATAAAGAAATTAATTGAAAGCCTTTTTGGACCATTATTTTTACCACCCCACGTTAGTAAGGAGGGAGGCATTGGGGTGAATCCCCTCCCTTTTTTACGGAAATATACGTGTTGAAGCACCAGGAATCCGAATAAAACAGATGTCGGTTTGACTGTCTGTCTGTACTCTCATTTCCGGCTAACCGGCTCAACCGATTGGAACCAAATTTGGTACCTACTCATATTCTTTTGGGCAGAATCGTACTTGCGCAGGTGTGCGGGCGGTAACTGTGCTGGCTACAGCAAATTTTTCACAAATGCATAAAGGTGTGGATAATTACTCCGGATCATAAAACAAATTATCGAATTATCGAAAAAAAAACATTTGTCTCATAAGTTTTAAAACATCGTTCTTGGCTTTGGTTAAACGGCATAAATAATGTCAAAATCCCTAGTCTCCCCAGCAACATGTACTTTTTATGTAACTAAATGAGTATCTTTGACAGTGGCACCTCACTGAATCATTTGTTCTCCTTTATTTATTGTTTGCCAACTGGCAACGCAAAACGCATTCTATTATGGGACAGATCAAAACATGGCGTGCAAAAGGTAATTCCAGTAATTTTGATTTGCCCCAAGATTATATACTAACTTGTTTTTCGTAATTATCAAAATTGTTGTGGAAATAATAACTAAGGACGCTTGTACCAATTATCTACGTACTGAGAGACCTAATCTGACCTTTTAGTTTAAACATGTAAGACAAACGGAACTCGTATAGAAAATGAGGATACTTTTTTCGATAGGTTAACGCTGGGCCCCTGTTAATTTTTTTAAAATTTGATATGGTCCACCAACCTTCTGAATCTGTAATTTTTTCCAACGGAAATTATCCAATCGCTCGTGAGATAAAGGAGACGAACTTGAGCTTAAGGTGGCGAAATGAAGGTCACGATGAGGTTCATTTATACCAATTTCATAAATATACCGTAATAATGCGATCATCTAAAAATTCCGCGATGAATTTCTCCCCTTTTATGTCTTGGGCCCTTTTGCTTAGCTCTACGTCCCTTAACTTCTCATCTATATCTTTGCATTCGTATTTTTGCCTGCACTGCCACCATCCTTTTTTTGTGTTAATCCTTCGCTTCGACCTGTCTCTTGCCTCTATTCTGTTCCATACTCATCTCTTTTTCTGTTAATAGTTTACTATTCTTCCGCTCAGGCCCAACACATCCCAGCAATAGGTACATCCTCTGTGTTCCTTCCATCACCTCCTATTTTCCCCACATCCTTGATTATACATTAATACTCCTCATATCGTCGCATCATTCCATTCCCATATATTGCTTGCAGACGTCTCAATCGCCCTTGGTGAGTACGATCTTCCAACAATACGTTCTTGAGATATAAGGGAATATACCCGATCACGATAAGAAGTCGAGGAGAAGGGCTATGGTTGGTAGAAATTATTCCTTTCGTTAAGATCTTTCATTAGAGTACCATGAAGGACAAAACTAGTGCCCCCCCCCCTCTCCACCCCGTACTTTGATAAGAGGACAGAAAGAAGGGCAGTAGTTGGTAGAAAACGGTTCATTTCGTTGAGACCTTTCATTAGAGTACCATGAAGGATAAAACTAGTCCCCCCCCTCTTTATTCCGCCGCTCTGTACTTTGATAAGAGATGAGAAAGAAGGGCAGTAGTTGGTAGAAAACGGTTCCTTTCGTTGAGACCTTTAATTAGAATACAATGAGAGTTAATTTTTAACCCCAAAACGGCAGAAGTGGGTCCGGACGGCCGGACAGACAGACAAAACGCTAAAAATAGAATATGTAACTTTAGATTATTAACTGGTAATTCTAAATACAGTAATTTAACCCTAATCCGATTTAAAATCACAAAATTTTTAATTATACGATTGCTCGGTATGTACCTATACTCTGCGTCGAGTTTCAACTATTTCACTGTGGATTTATTATCCGCCTAGGCCCTAGAGGGTTTACTAGCAACAGTAGCAACACTAAATTCATTGATATTAAAATGTATCCCCAATTCGTAATAATAGAGAGCCAAGTTGTCTCTAATTTCAGATTAGTAGCACTTTTCTGTAAAAAATTGTCCAATGGCTTTGTCAAATGGATGGACAAATAAAAAGTTTTAAAATGCACTCTTCAAGTAACGTAGGTAACCAAAGTATGTGATTCAATTCCACCGGTGAATCTATTAAACGTAAATAAATTAGGTAACAGAAATAAGTAACATGCGACACTGGTTTTTCCAGACGTTCGCCTTCTATTTTGCAGATAAGGTGATAGCGGCGAAATTGGCCTTTACGGCGTACGCATTATCGCCTAACAGGTAGGTCTCTAATACAAATTTTAAATACCAATTTATATTAGATCGGCCATTCCTGTGTTAATGTTTAACTTGAGTACATCGTTCGTTCCTTAATCGGAAATTGTACGTGAGTGATAAGCCTATATTATGGGGTGAGTTTTTACTTTTTTATTACATAACCACTACAGTAAGTAGATATACCACAACAAGAATTATATCTACTGAGGGGAAGGTTCCTTCTACATCAAGTTAAACCTCTCAGAGTACCCAAAAGTGACGTAATAGATTTGTGTCATTTTTTGTATGTAATGTCTATGGCGATAATTATACCTAAAATATGGTAAAGATTATGCGGGATGTACAGAATTTTGACTTATAGCAAAAGTATCATACATTTAAATTAAAATTCTCGGATAAATATACATATTAGTTCAAGGGTGTTAGTACATAATACCTATATAGATATAAAATACCCTTAACCGTTTTGCACCTTGTTGTTGGTTATTAAATTAAACAAGTACAAAATAAGTATAATTAACAATTAAATGTAAAGACGCAGATACAAGTATCCTTTGACAATGCTGTCGATGAACTGACTTTACTACAAAAGTAATTAACTCTTAAAATACTAAAAAGGGTCGGACCGTTCTCACCACATGGGGCTAGGTCAAGAAACTCGCCCTTATTCAATGGGAATATTGCCTTTCACTACGTACATTTTCCGGAAACGGTACTTTGCAGCATTTTAAATTCTTTGCTTACCTACCTATGCGGGGTGGTGACTCGACTTCAATAGTAATTTTTTAATTTCCGATTATTGGCTCCCCTAATTATTTTAGAAATAAAGTCTATTTAGGTTTCTTGCAGAGAAAAAAATTGCGAATCCGTACATACTATTGTTTTCTATTTTATAAATTCAGAAACATTAACAATTTAAAAATTAAAAACCGTCGCGTTTATAAAGTCGGTAATGCCATGATATTCTGGAATCAAACAAAAGCGCCTGCATTTCCCATTAGTGAGCTTTGTTTGATCTCAAACTGCCATGGCACCACTGATTTGCTTAAAGTTGCTTTTAGTTATCCAATTTCTTGGTTTTAAAGTTAAAAAAATTAAAAGCCATAGTATGGATGGAGTCGTAATTTTTTTTCTCTATAAACCTAAACAGACTATCTCTAAAATAATTAGGGAAGCCAATAACCAGAAATGAAAAAATTACTATTGAAATTCCTATGGCGCGTTGTTAAAGTCGCCACCCGGTATATCACGAATAAAGTGTCTAGTAACAACCTTTTAAAAAACATACAAAAATAACCCCTCAACCCCCGGCCATTTTGAAATTTCGTATTTTTCAAGAAAATTAACCTGCTGCAAGCGTTACACTCATATTTACATTGTTGGGAAGAGGTTTCTAATAAAATTCGTATGAAGACTTCCAAAAAGACTGTTTCTAGTGATTTCAAGTTAGAAATTAAAATGTCTCTAAAAGAGATAGATATTAATGAATTATTTCTATACACACTCCAATTTCACTGCTGCACTAAAAGTGAAGTCAACATATCAAACGGCTTCAATAAAAATTGTTAAAGGCTTTAATAGATATTCTGAAAATTTCTAGGTCAAAAAATTATTCTAAGATTACCCTTGAGAATATTCTTTGACGATTCTCAGGGAGACTGCTCCCTAGATTTTAAGGGGACTAGAATAATATCTAAGACGGCTTTAAGACTGTTTCAAAACAGATATATAGCTCCATTCCTACTTCAATAAAATTCTGGACGTTTATAGAATGTGGAAGGCTCGGTGAAAATTTTAAGGAAGTTCCCAAGGATTTTAGTTATAGAACAGTTTCTAGGAAGGGTTCAAAATGGATTTTTGATAATGTTTTGAATATGTGATCGATTTGCATTTTTTCAGAAGAGCCGTAGAGATGTCTTTTAAAGATACTTCCGAAGAATTTAATTTGTACCGGGTAGGCAAAAAAGTATGGCCGTCGGTCATATCTCAAAAACCAATTGGGGGAAAAATTATGTAATAGAAGTGTCAAGAAAAATTGGTGGAAATTATTTTCGAGTGTGTAAAATGACTACTAGGGGGCGCAACAGTCATGATCAAATATAAAATTTTAATTTTCTCCGCATTTTATCTAATAAAGTGGTATCAAAGGTAGCTGAGGTCTTGTGAAATAAAGTGGTGGGGGGAAATCAAATGTTTTTTAAAATAATAAATATTGATAATTGATTTTTCAACTTTGGCGGAACCGATTTTGGTAAACTTGGTCTCGTTTAAGAAAGGCTTATTTAGCTTACCAACAGCGTGTTTGCTTTTATACCTGGCAATGTTGTAGTCGTCGCTAGAGGGCGTTTGGTGATATTTAACTCTATACTATGATTTTTCATGAAAATTTTAAATGAGATGATGTTTTTTACTATATAAAATAGAGAATTAAATACTCAATATTTCAGCAAAAAAATTCAGAATTGTATCTTCTTTAGAACTCGAGATGTTGGGCCAAATAGATTAAGACATAATGAATTCTTTGGCTTTACCGGAGATTTTTAGCGCATTTTTGAAAAAAATACGCTATTATATTCGTTATTGCTGGCAGGCCGGCTGTCCGCGTGAGATCTCCACAACTACAATAGCTAGAGAATTCAAATTTTCACTAAAAGCTTTCTGTGTAGATGTGCAGGCACTAGTCTATTTTGAGTTAGATTACTTGTGAGATCGATAATTGATGAAAATAAATTCGATATGGGTTTCGGAGGTGCTATAATTTTACCGTTAGATAGCGCTACCAGTATAAAAACTTATTATTTACTTTGTGATTTGTTTTACAAAATGAAGACGTACCGTCAATTGAAATTAAATAAAATTAATTATTTAACGCAGCCAAAATTACTCGTGAGATCGATAATTTTAAACTTCGCTAATAAAATACTGACCTGCATTATCAAAAATGCGCTTTAATCATGCATATGCTGATTTACAACTTGTTTTTTATAATATTGGACGATTGTAACACTTATTATATATTATGTTTTTAAAAAGTACATAAAACTATTTGCATAAATTACTCAAAATCATTTTAAGGCTTGTTAAACTATTTTTAACACATATAAGTATGTAAGTAGAGGTAAATAATTTAGATTTTATGTTTTCTTACAGGTTATCGATTTCGAATTTTATTTTCATCATCAGACCTTGCTGAAAATGACTGACTAGTTTTACATAGAAATTGTATAATAAACCTTACCGTCATTTAAATTATTGAATGAAAGAGAGTATGTACATCTGTATGAAGGACCATATGAGTTACATTTATATTTTGATGGTAGTAGTGAATGAAATACAAATTTTAGTAGTTATTGTGGACGAGTAACTACTAAAATTTGTATTTCATTCACTACTACCATCAAAATATAAATGTAACTCATATGGTCCTTCATACAGATGTACATACCCTCTTTCATTCAATAATTTAAATGACGGTAAGCTTTATTATACAATTTCTATGTAAAACTAGTCAGTTATTTTCAGCAAGGTCTGATGATGAAAATAAAAAATTCGAAATCGATAACCTGTAAGAAAACATAAAATCTAAATTATTTACCTCTACTTACCTGCTTATATATCATAAATAATTTCCATATGGAGCAATACATCAATAAAATATTTTTAACACATTTGAACCGGAAATAAGCGCATTTTTAAATTTAAAAAACAAGTGACCCTCCTTGGAAAAAAAAACAATTTAATTAAAGACGAGATTAAAGATTATTGACGACCTGCTGCCTATCAATACACATCGCAAGTCTTTGCCCAGTGGATAAAACGGCAGTTTTAATTTCGCCCCCTCGAAGTATTTTAAGAGCAGTTCTAATTCTTTCCTCCATGTTTTCCCCGGTTGCAAGAACGACGTCTTTGATTCTTCCCCACAGATAACAATCCAAGACGGTGAGGTCCGGTAACCTAGCTGGCCATGGAAATATATAGTATATTAGAATACGTTCTATCCCCGTCAACCATCATGCAGGGAGAATGTCATGACGAATATTCAGGGGAACATCTTCCAGAAGAAGTGGTAATTCTTTTCTTAGGAAATGTAAGTAAACGCGCGTCTCCAGTTAAAGCCCGTGCTTAGAGATAACCGGTGCAATAATACTAGATACCCCCTATGATCCTTGGTGTTGCACCTCCTGCATCCAATGCGGATTAGTTGGTGACCAATAGTACAGGTTCGCACCATCATCGCTAGTAAATGGGGCCTCATCCGTCCATAATATACGAGAGAGTACCTATTCGGGTTTTCATCTTTAAAAGCCAGTAACAGTGGTCTACCCTTCGATCGAAATCTTCAACTCCTAAAGCTTGGTGAAGCACAACAAAAAAAAATGCGTATGCCAAAACATTTATAACATAGGGGCAGCTGAAGAAAACATTTATAACATTTTCTTCAGCTCCCCTACGGTATTTTGACACCATAAGATTCTAACCTAATTCTAAGCCGAACGACCAGTCTACGAAAAACCCTTCTTGTATGATGTCGTCTTCTAGGGAAATATGTAGCATAAACCCTGGCCGCAATTGTTGCATTACGCATGCGTTCAATATATATCTACACGCCATATCGAATGACTCTTCTGTAGTTAAATGAATTTTATTGTTTTTAAAACACAAAAAAGCGCAAAAATTAACAAGATAATGACCCGGGTAAAACATTGACAAATTATTTGTCATTACAACACGCCATTTTAGTTCAATTGTTTTCTTTTCAAGGGTTACTTGTTCTTTAAATTTAAGTAAATGCATTTATTTCTGGTTAAATTTGTTCAAATAGTTCCAGTTTAACAGGCACTAAAAAACGGTTTAGTAATTCAAATAAATATTTTTATGTTTTTTTAGAATTATAATAAATATTAAGCATTAACATCGTCCAATGTGATAAAAAGAAATGGCGGATGAAGTCAAAGAATTCATCTGTCCTAATGTATTTTACCTAATCTCGAGTTGTAAAAAAGATAGGTACAGATCTGGGATTTTTACTGAAATATCGAGTATTAAATTTTCTATTTTATCTTGTAAAAAATATAATCTCATTCAATTTAAAAAAAAAATCATAGTATACAGTTATTTTTCAGATAACTCCCTCTAATGACGAACGTAAAATTACCAGCTAATAAACCAAATAGGCTATTGGTAGGCCAAATAATGGTCTAGTAAACGAGACCATGTTTGCTAAAATCGGTTTTTAAAAAACATTTGATTTCCCCCCACCACTTTACACAAGATAAGAAAAAAAAGTAAAACAAAAAATAATATCGGATTAAAACACAGCTGACATTGATACCATTTGATTACATAAAATCCATAGAAAATTAAAATTTTATATTTGATCATGACTGATATGCCCCCTAGTGGTCATTTTACACACGCAAGAATTATTTCCAATAATTTCCATTTGGTCTGTTAAAAATGTTTCAATGAGATTGTGAGATTTTAAACGATAGCCTGGAAAAAGGTTCCTAAGAAATATTCTTAGGTTTTCCATACCTTGAAGTTGAAAACCGTTGGTTTCAACAGGATGGTGCATTCACCTATAAAATATATTTTTCATTTTGCAGGAAATTTGTGCGATAAATATTCTCGCACGATTAGGGCGTTGTGCGCGGGTTCGCCATCCTGTTGAATCCAACTTTTTTTTTTGTCGTAAATTGCTGTGTTTGGAATAAAAAACGCTACCCAATACAGTGGGTACTTTTTTGACGGGCCATATAAAAAATAAAGTTGATAATTTGCACTGGTTCTTTTTGTATGTATTCAAATAACATCAGAAAAAAATAAAAACGAAATCGGCAAATTTGACTTTTTCTGGAATATCTTTGGAAGTAATCGGAATTTTCTAGTTTTCATTAAAACACGATAATAACTCTTTAATTTTGCATCATTTCTCTATTTTAATCATCTTCGTATCTTCTATGGTTTTAAACGCCGTATATTAAAAATTGAAATCTATAGATTACATGGAATATTCGGCGAAATATTTCTGTGGACTAAGAAAATTCACATTGTGAAATACATATATATTAAACATTTTTTTTTACAAATATATAACATATTTATTTGTTTTGTATCATAAATTTTGCAGATTAAATTGTTAGAATAACGCGTCCTACACAAATCCTATCGTTGTCTCCGTCCCCCAACGTCGAACGGAAGACAAGAATATACTTTTAGAAAATCAAAAATATGAGATATCCCTACCTTATGTTATGTATAATGATAAAAGCAGTTTTCGTTTAAGTATTGTCTTCCATTGAACTATGTACAGAAAATTTCCCTAAATGCCAATTTTTGGTCTATGTACATTAAGAGTTCAACATTAAACATTTATTCTATCAACAAATACAATGGCGCACATTAAAAGGATGTTTTCTGTAACGAGTAATGAAATATAGAATTTGAAAACCCATCCAACAACGCATACAAAAATGATCAGTAGTCAGTAACATCTACCTGGCAAGAGCCAGAAATTGAAATAAGGTCAGGTTTATCACACGTTGAAGCACATCTTTTACAGTAAATATCAGTCAGAAATTTGTGCTATTATAATGTTTTCTTATATGCTAACATGACAGACACACAGGTAACAATTGACAGTTTTCAAAAGCGCCAAGTTTTCACATGTATATAAGCGGACAAGCTCAAAAAAAAAAACAAAGGGCTACCAACTACACAAGGTCTACCTTCTTACACAAGGCGGTTTGATTGTTTTGCAGTAATGAGGAAGGGCTTGGGTAGGAAAAGCGTTTTAGAGAAACATAGTTCTTATCTTATAGGTGTGCAACATTGAGACACTGAAGGTAATTTGGCAATCGGTAACTTCGTATCCATTACCTGTTCACTAACAGGATAATATAGGGAAGACCTTGAAATCAATTTCACGAGGGAAGTAGCGGGAAGCGCTTAAAAGTTTGAATGGTCCACTCTGAGCCGAATGGCCTAAATGTCGAAAGGACCGACGGTCCCACCAAAGGAGAAAGATAATGGATACGAAAAAAAACATCGGTAACACAAAGCCTGAAGGAAACATTCAAACAAAGACGGGGGTACGTGTATCTTTTTCACTTCCGTGTCTTCCTAGCCTATACCACTCTTCACTACTGCCACATATTAGTCAAAGATCTTCGGGCGATTTTGTTAACAAACAACCCGATTTAGCTAAAGGACTTTGCACCGCACCTGGTGTATTAAGATTAGTAAAATAACTACCGCTCTTCGGCTTCAAGTGCCTGTTATTCACTTCCATGTAGACGATCTTCATGAACTCGATCTGCGCCGCTAACTTCTGGATTTCCTCCTGGAACATTTTTATTGCGGCCGATCGTATAATTATTTGAGAAGTCATACCTTAAGTTCCTCGTTTTCCTGATAAAGATCGGGCGCTTCTTCGGGTACTAGCCCGATTCCGTTTAGGGAGAAGGATGCCGTCACTCCCCGGGAGCGGGCTCGGTTATCCCATTGATCACCTTGTCCTCTTAGTACTCTCAAAACCTAATGGGGGGATTTAGATGAAATTTCCGGGGTTGGTCACTTACTTTTGGTCCAAATACGAGGCCTATTGTAACGGTAGTTGATAATTGTGTTCGTACAAATCCTAATAAGTATTTAATGTCAGGTCCCGCTTGAGGAAATATTAACAAACTAAAATTCGTGGAGCTTTTGGTTCTGGTCAACAAGGTTACCTACTTACTGAATTGCTACCATGGCGGTATTAACGAGTGCTATATTATAAATTGCGTAACTTATCAATCTAGCTTCATTATACAAGGATTCGGCGTTTCGCACATTGTAACAGACTCGCACACCCCAAGCTAGAAACAACACCTCACCTGTAAGCACAGAGTGGAGCACGCAATTGGGGCGTTTTTGACCGCTTACCGATTGCAAGACTATGATCCCACCAGTTGTAAGAGCACTGCTTGAACCTTAAACCGGTGCTGTCCTTGATATCTTCGGCTATTGGAGTATCAGATAGCGTCCAAGTTCCTAAATATATGAGCATTACTAAAAGTATGGGCACCATCCATTGCAAAAGCTGTTTGTCTGTTAGTTTCACTTTGTGCGCTGATTTGACTCGGTAGGTCAGAGAAACCCTACGGAAACATGACAATATCAGAAAAACTAGCGGAAGACGCACCTCCAAGTCTTCATCAGCAAGGCAGTGTACGTGATGCAAAATCCAAGATGGCGCGTCCACTTTGTGGCTATACACGAGTACTTGTCCAACACCGGAAAGATGGCAGCCATCTGAAAATGCGATGGGGGTGAAAATCGCCCCCTGTTGTTTCTCCGACCGAAATTTTACCTCCAAGTACATAATTCCGCAACCGACGAGCGTAATCGCCAAGAAAATCGGACTAGCTACCTTAAACACTTTTAATTTCTTATGCCGATACATGTAAACGATAAGGGCGAGTGTCGAAAAAACGCAAAAAACACTAAAACTTAGTATCGCAGTCCTGAAATTGAACAAAAACACGTTAGTGACGCGGCATACCCCAAATGTTTCGGGGCAAAAACTCAAAAAGGAATACCTAAACGGCCAATTGTAGGTTGCCAGGCACGGTTCGGGACCGAAGCAGTGGTGGCAACCTGGCGCGCACTGTTTGCACCGGAATATCGTCGACCATGCGTTGCTGTTGTTCGTCTCCTGTTCCTGCCATGCGACTGAAATTGAAACATAATTATCTGCATCGATTCTTGACAATAATCCAACGATTAGTGGTAGTAAGCAATTTTTTAGCTCAGTAGGGATTTATGTATTTCGAAATAAATCCAAGAAGAAACCGTGAAATAATCAAAAGATCCATGCCATAAACTTTCTTCGCCAAATAAACGTGCCTACAAATTCGTATTGAGAACTATCGCTAAAAACGGTAACAATATGAGTTGACTTTTCAATTCAATGTTAGGAAAGCTAGTTTGAATGCAGACACTATAAATAGAAAAGTTCATTGTCCGATCATTTGCATAACGAATGTGCGGTGGTGAAAAAATGTTCGGAAAACTTCAATAATTCTTCAGGAGATCCAATTTTCGTTTCTATATTGTGTAACTTTAAGGCACCATATTAATTTCCGTTAGTCCGAACAAGTGGTCCCGTGCTAGGATGCATATAAGCTAAGGGATGGATGAGACTGAAAGCGCCTACAAAGTGTAACCACAGCTGGGTACCCTATCGCGAGCGTTTCGCTTAAAAAAGCGCTCCAAGCGGAAAAACGCTCGCGACACTTTTCGGAACGGCCGCTTGATGCTCGATACTCGAGCGTTTACTTCAAGTGCTCGGCGCTGGAACGCTTTTTTCTGCCCACGAACAGTTTTTCCGCTCATGAGCGTCTTTTTTTCGTTCGCAAGCTCCTTTTTCGCTCGGGAGCTCTTTTTCCGCTCGCGAGAATCAATTGCACAAATTTTATTTAACATCTGAGTTAAGTCTTGGGCACAAATAGAAAGACCAGAACATAAGAACTCTATCTGGGTTGTACAATGGATTCAAATAAACGCACAATTAATTGAATATAATTTTAAAAAAATTACTCCGAACCACATACGCCACAAATAATCAAAAAATACCTAAAATAAAGAGGGAGACAATCCCGTTCTTACGCGTACCCCACACGCAGGTGGTCGACACAAATAAACAAAGAAAGTCTTAAAACTCCATGAGAAAATTAACTTTATTTAAATTTTTAAGTGCAAATCTGGTGGGTTATTTACGAATCAACACTAAGTTGGTTTATTTTACTTGAATTTGTGTCTTAGTGTTTGTTTTTCGTTATGGTCAAATTTGCGTGTTTTATAAAAGGTTTTATTTGTCCATTGCGATAACGAGTCTTGATGCTAGGCGAAATTTAATTAACGCACGTGTTCTTCCGCTGGTAAGAACATACAGATGTTACGAGGAATTTCGCGTTTTATGTAGAAACGGCGATTGGCGATTTATTATTGTTTTTTTTTAATCTTAATCCTCATTTTGATCTTATCATGATCAGCATTTAATCTTCATCTTGAACCTGAACTAACCTTACTCTCTATCTTCATCTCAATCAATATTCAGTTCGTGCCCGGAATACTCGCTTCCGCAGTGTTTATCTCCAGGAACATTTGCTGCGGAAATTTCGCCCCTGGAACATTTTCAGTCTCATAAAATTTGCCGGCAGTATCTCCCTCCTCAAGGAAAATTCGATGTTGGAAGCATCATCATATCGTCTTATATACTGTGCCCAAGACAAGGATGTCTATCATGGGGATCTTGGAAGCCATAAAGAAGAATTTCGAGTTTTATGTGGAGAAGTGGAGACGTTTGGAGTCGATGTTTATTTAATCTAACGGCGATTGGCGATTTATTTGAAACCTCATGAAGAAGGAGTTTGTTTTATGGTGGAAGTGGTTATTTCTTAAATACTGTAGACAACGAGAAGACGAGGTTCGTTTTTTCGACGATTTGAGAACGTGTACATTTCTTTACGATAAATCTTCGGGCGTTCAGCGTGAGCATGTAAAAACTGTAATTCAGTCAGAAGCTCCTAAAGCATTCTGTGTATCATTTTTAGTTCGCCTGAATATCTCAAATTTATTACGACCCGATTGAGTTGATTGTTTAATAACGGTAAGTAATTAGGATTTCTTTATTCACTTGTATGTTGACCGCCTGCGTGCGGGGTATGTGTAAAAACAAGCTCTAAAAAGCTCTTTCATCGTCTTGTTTAAGTTTGTTTTTCATGTTGTGCGGAATAAATGTTTGCCCTTGTCATTTTCTTAAAGGAGCCAAATTTTTTCAGTAAAAACGTCCCAAAGCAGGCTGCAAGTTGAATTCAACAATTCAAGTATGGCTGTTTCCTATCTTGCTTGGTTGCTTAAAAAATTAAAGGTGATGCCAGTATTGCAATATGACGTAAAGTGGCATTAAAATAAATTATATCCTTAAAATCTCGTGGTTGTCCGTCTGACGATCGCTCGGTGCGCACGATAAATCCGGAGTAGAAATTCTTATAGTCTTGGAAATTGGTATACAGGGCCTTTCACGACCAGCGTTCATTAGACGTTTTTAGGAAATCGTTCAAGATCATTTTAGTAAACTTGACACATAAAAATAAAACCAAGTTTAAGGTTGAACAAAAATATTGTCTAATGCAGAAATTATTTCGGTCTAAGCACCAAAAATAATGACGCGACATCCTGTATCCTGAATATTTATTAAGTACATCTGGGGATTATTTATGAAATAAACACAAAGTTGGTTCGTTTCATTTGAATTTGTATTTCAATGTTTGTTTTTCGATAGAACTGTTTGTAATTGCGTAGTTTTCGTTTAAATTTTAGTAGAAAATTAATTAACGCACGGGTTTTATGTCTGTTAAGAGATATGATTCCGTGACGGTTAAAGAGCGTGTAACTTTTGTTTACGCCTTTTGTTTAGTTTTTAAGTTAAAAGTTTCTACCACCCGAACAGCCATCGAAAATTCGTTGGTCTTATTCATGAAACCGGTTTTGTTTTTATTAAGATGTTCAGAATCTGTCGGCCGCTTGCGTGCGGGGTAATAATTATGTCCATACAAGCTTTGTAAGGTTTTCTTCCTTGCAGCGATTTTGTTTTAATGTTGTTTCATTTCGTTTTGGAACACATTTTTGTCATTGTGTGTTTATTCGAATCCATTGTGCAACCCGGATAGTTCTGCATGTCAGATTTTTTTTCTGTTCAATTTATTTCAGGTGTTAACCAAAAGAAACTCTCTGGAATTTTCGGAAGTCAGTATTAGTATTTTTCCCGTAGATTATAAAATTCTAATTTTGTTTCTTGTTGAGCTAACTGGACAGGTGTTTTGTGGGTGGTGCAGTGGCCGCAATATCTTGTGTTACATTAGGTTTGTAACTAATCCGAAGCATGGCACGTACATATTTTACATTCAGAGACTAACCGAATGCCCTGAAAGTGAACAGAATGAAAAGAGCAGTTCATATCCCGACGGACTTCCTCATAATTAGAAAATATTCCGACGCTAATTGTCACGTACAGTCTCGAAGGGGTGCTCGAAAACCGCAACGAAACGCGAACAAAGCGAAAATTAAATAAATATTTCATCGACAATTAGAACAAAAAGAAAAGAAAAACTTACTTTCTACAATTGTTCCGTTAAATATACCAGCGTGATGCGGCGAATAAAAGCCGGGTCTGCATTTACATTGATAGCTCCCTCTGGACCAGCCCGTTAAGCCCAGCTGGGAACGATAAACGCACTACGGAAAAATGGATGGCGTGTGTTTTCGGGTGTTTCGGGGAAACGTTTACCTTCGAAGTTAAATTGTGACATTTGTGCGTTCCGTGTAGCACCAGGATTTCGGAGTAGGAGCCGAGGTGGTCGTCTTCGCATTGGTTCACTTCCAAATTCGAGACGTCGACGTCTAAGCTTAGATAGCCTTTCATTCTGAAAGAGAGCTGAATGAGGCTATATCACCGAGGTTGTGACGTACCCGTGACGTCCGGGTGAGGGAATGGGAACGCTGTAGGATGTGAGCCATTTGCGGGAGATACAGGAGTAGTAGGGATATGTCCACCATCCCCTGTACGAAACTTTCAGAGGACTGTCCATAAATTTCGGTGAGCGCAGACCGGGACTGGAATCCGCGTCCTCGTACCAAGGATAATCCGGATCGGGTCGTTGGCCCACCTCTGGAATGCCCTCGGTTAACTTCCTAGGGCCTCCCATTTCCAAACCTTGCCGCTGCCACCACGCGCAGTTCACCAGCTGACCCGTCGACGCGTTAATTGCGAGCACTCGCGCTGATAAAATATTTGTATCGGAAACTAGCAGGTTTCTTGATATGGCGTCTTGAAGACCTGAAACCAGAAAGTATTCGTATAATAAGAATCCATTTCCACTACTAGTCGCGTCAATACCATAGTTACATAATTTAATATTCATTGTTGCTGGCAGGGTGCGTGTGTGGCTTAACACGAAAAAGTTAAAAGGTTACGTCATGTGCGATTTTATCGGAAATTGTACTCGACATAGGTAAATAAAGATTGATTAGAAACGGGAGAGGCATTTTTGAATAATTGAAGTGTTTGATGATTGATTACGTTGGAGCTTTCATAACGAAATTATGTCGGCCTCTCCTTAAAATGTGATAACCGTTCCTGGGTTTTAAGATTCTACAATCAGAATGATTTGTTCTCGTTGCTGGATTGCAGTAATTGTACGTAGAAAGTTGTAAACTGGTAATTTTGATAAATTGATGTGAAAGTTTAGTCATCGACGATAATAAACGAAGGCGAATGTGATTCATTTTTCTCCGGAAATATGACGTGTTCGTTCTAGGACATTCGGAACCGTTCGGAGAAATTCTAGAAAGATTTTTGTTTGCTATATAAACAATCGAATTGTGTTTCGAGTCAGTTCCAACATCTATGCGCTCGCGTTATATTATAAATGGTGAATGATAGATACCATAGTGTAAAGAATAGAATAGTGAAACAACCTTACGAAGGAAAAGGGAAACTGATTTGGACATCGAGAATTTTTAGTTCTGGACGCGACAATCGGAAGGGAGGGCGTTGCTGTCACGGATTTTAAAAGCGACTCATGCTACAAACCTTCCACATTACATTGCCACCTTACACTACACGAGTTAAGGTGACGCTTTTTTCAACGATCTATTTATTATAATTTTTCATTTCACTTTGTTACATATGAAAGAGAAAGATTAAAAAGATCGCGAAATAATGCTCCTTTGTTCTTTTATTTTAACTGCCTTCAGTTTAAATCACATTCTGCAAATAAAGATTAAAAGTAAGGTGAAGGTTACGTTACGCATTACTACTGTTCCTGTTTATCTGGCCTTATTTGACATTTTGCTTCGAGAAAAGCGCTAAAAGTAAAAGATGTAGAGCACGTGTTGTTCGAGGTATTTTCACTACAATACACCTATGCAACTATCATAAGTTAATATAAAAATTGGGATTTTTTTAATTCAGTGCTGCTGTATGCTATAATCCCTAGGTGCAGGAATAGGATAGTATCAAATTTTAGTATTCATTTGGGGTTGTGTTGGTTGATATGGTGAAACATGTGCAAAGGCACAAAGTGAAAAATTCGTTAAGCCGCTAAGCAAGAGGCGAAGAGTGCACTTTCAAATTTGTTTTTTTCGATTTTAATAGCCCTTATGGACATTCATGCCAACGAGTAAACAAACATGAAATAATTTTTAATTTCTGATCGAATTGCACCAATACCAAGTATGTATAAAGTGGTGTAGTTCCGGAGCCTTTGTGACTCAGACAGACATAAGGAGCGCAAAAGTTCACTTTTTATTTTTTTAAGGTGAAATTACGATCATTTCAGTCGATTCAGGCGTAGTGCAAAAAATCCACTTTTACACTATTAGGATTCTCGTAATAAACGTAATAGCAAAAACGTACAAGTGCCGTAGCGAGGGAGACAAAGCATGCGTTTGCACGTAATTTTATTATAGTCCAAGAGCCCAGTAGGAAAGTATACCTTGAACGCCCGGACGATTCTAATAATTTTCATAGGATTCGCCTATTCGCCATAAAAAGTTGCATTAGAATCGACAACGGTGCCGGCGAAAATCCTGCCGAAAGCAGTTAAAAAAAAATTAAATTCGCCCCTTATTTTTGGAAAATGTACTCTATTCTCCCGGACGTTCAGGAAGAGTACTAAAGGGTGCATATGGATGAGTTTTATCGGAAAACGTCACGGTGCCGGGGCGCAACTTGCCGCAACCCTTGGCACCGCGACTACAAATGGGGTGGTAATTCGTACTAAACTACCTTTTTCTCCCGGACCAAAATATAAAAATAAATAAAATAAAGTACATTTTCCAAAAATAAGGGGCGAATTTAATTTTTTTTTAACTGCTTTCGGCAGGATTTTCGCCGGCACCGTTGTCGATTCTAATGCAACTTTTTATGGCGAATAGGCGAATCCTACGAAAATTATTAGAATCGTCCGGGCGTTCAAGGTATACTTTCCTACTGGGCTCTTGGACTATTAAGGGCGTAAAATTTTCAGAATACCTAAATGGAATTGTATAACCATTTACAAAAAAATTTAGAATTTACTGTTGCAAAAATCGGATTTTTTTATTGGCATTATTGTGCATATAGTGCATAACTGTCGGCCGTACCAAACAATACTCTTTGCCCGTAGATAGTCGGTACGTTTTGAGAACTGGTGGGCGCTTTTACTAAAGCTAACCCGCTTAATAGGAACAATATTTAGGTGCCTTCATACACTTTTTCATTATTGTATCCATTTCTCAGAAGTGAGGACTGTTTGTGGCACTATACTTTTTAAAACGCCTTTCTGCGTGTACAATTTGCGTTTCCTAACGTAAAAGGATCCGTCCAGCGAGAAGATTCTATGCAAAATATACGTCTTTCTTGCATTCAAAAAACAAACTGATATTTAAATATCTATTTCTTTCTGGGACTAGTCGATATTGAATTCAATATAAAAAATGATCAAAGTCCTCGTGTGAGATCGAAGGGACTTCAGCGCATTTTTGTGTGGCAGATCAGTGTTTTATTAGCCAATATTGACTCCACCATCAATAAGATCTTGCCGAAAGCTACCACGTTCACTTTGTCGGTACCATTTTCTCACTTACCGTGCACTCGCAATTCGCGTTTGAAGTTTTGACTCCACCATCATTAAAATCCTTTGGGGGTTACCATATTCCCTTTGTCGACACCCACTTCTGATCACCCGCAACAATTCGGATTTGAAGTTTCGACTCCACCATCAGTAAGATCTCGTCGGGGGTTACCACATTCCCTTTGTCGATACACAGTTCCGACGTCCCGTTCATTCGTAATTCACATTTTGGTAGATTTCGCTAAAATCCCGGCATAAAATCGTATTCAACTTTTGGGTACTTCACATAGCTCGACCTTCTATTAGTGACACGAGAAAGAGAGACCGTGATTCGCGCTGTAAGAAACTTTTGGGCGCCCAAAGTCGTCTACCGGCTACCCCTCGAAGCGCGCCGCGCAAAAGGTGGTTTATGTCGCCCCTAGGAAAAAAAAACAAAATTCCGCGACGCAGGAGTTGTGCGCGTTGACAAGATCTTCCCGACGACACCAATTTGAAAACAATCGGAGAAAAACTGTAGAAGAAGATAGATAAAAACTGAAAAATCTCCAGGTTAGTATAATACGCTCGGGGATGGCGTCCAGATGTCGTCGACTCCAAATCTTGTAGCCCCATCCCTAACGTTCTTAATTACACGGCCCCGATAGTTACATGTACACTCCTTGTCTTTTTACAAGCGTTTTTCTACGGGCGCGCATTTACTGCCAGCCAGCCAGCCAGCCAGCCAGCCGACCAAGCCAGCCAGCCAGCCAGCCAAAGTGAGATTAAAAGCTACTTTTTACAAAAAAAATTTTTTGCAAAAAGGCGCTAACAACGGGGTTAAAATAGTATTTACATTTTGCAAAACTGTTTCTAGTCCGCGTCCTGTGACTCACAATTACATTGTATTTTAGGTATCGGATGTTTTACGATTTTAAGCTTACACCCTCATTAGAAGATAGGGAGGGTAAAATAGACAAAAGAATCATAAATTATAAAATTCTTGCGGTACTTTTACCCATATTATATACAGCCTCCGTTTCAATAGTCTGATGGAATAGTGTAAACTGTAAATAATAGAATCTGGTACCTACCTACATAAAGCAGTTTTACTTTTGTTTTTAAATAGAGGACATTTTAATTTTACTTTCTCTGTGAAATGGCAGGGAATAAATGTCAATATTTATATTGTGAAAATAATCGAAGAAAAAATCCAAATATACCTAGCAATGTTCAAATTTCCGAAGGATCGAAGTTTAGCTTTAGAATGGATATTAAACAGCGGTAAGTTTTTTGCGAAGTGTACCGAAGTAAATAAATCAATTTTGTACTTACCTTACGCCGAGTAAAGTTCACACTCGACTCATATTCTTATAGTCTGCACATATTTTAGAAAATTTACCATTTTAAGCATAGAATGCCAATATCATATTTGACAAGATGCTCAGTTCTGAAATTCTGGGATTGGGAAATACTTTATTTGGCCTAAAGGGTTAATGAGACATCCTTACATTGAATCGTAGGCAGGTACGTAATAATATCTCATTTAGTCATCATAGGTCTCTCAGAAATAATTACATTGTGATTCAAAATAAATAAATTGGGCGCATGCCTGTTGAAGGCCCAAAACAAGAGAGGGATAATAAAATAAAATAAAATACCAGTATTTGCAAATTTCCAGTATTAAGATTTTCAGATGAAGTCTCGGATAAAGTAAATCGATTCAAATTTTCCAATACATAAATTCAGCACTTTAGTACTGTCAATACGTATTCCTATATGAAAAATCGATTGTGTTCATCTCTGAAAAAGGTACAGGTTCACAAAAATAAACAAAACGATGTAACCTTCATCAAGTATAATTGTTGAAAATATGAACAATTACCTCGAGCACATGTTTCGACCAAAATACAGCAGGCCATTTTCAAAGCTGTCCAATAGTTAATAGTTGCTATATTGTTGAGTCAGTGGTGTCATGGCAAATTTGGCAGTGCCAGTATTTATTATACGAATAGAGTTATTCTTACACTATGCCTGAGCGTACGCGCTTGCTTTGACATGAACCTCGACATGAACTAACCATTTGTCTGTTTAATGTCGACGAACTGTAGCCCTTAGTTAACTGTTTCCGAAAACGGAATTCAAAATTCGCCTTTGTTTCCGAATTATGGCGCGGTAAAAAGGACGGACACAAACGTAATTCGAGATTATGGAATTCAGAACGTAAGGTATGAGTTGTTCCATATAGTTTTAAATTTTTTTTACAAGAAGGTTTATTATCTGACATTAAAACACAATGATTATGAAATTTTTGAGTTTTCGTACCATTTTTATACGAATAATATTTCAACACAGTTTTGAAGCAAATTTTGGAATTCTGATTCGAGTTTCGGGTCGATATGCAGAAGTTTTGCTCTAAAATGTATATGTATTAAGTAAACTATAAATCATAATAAATATTGAAAGCGACTATCAACACGGAAGGAGATTAAAAGTCTGCCAACAAAAATAATCAAGTGTGTATACAGAATTTATTGTAATCTTATACAGCATGACATCATCGCATACCCGCGCTCATGAACAATAGCTTCATTGTGCTGTGTACCTTGCTATAAAAGAGCGGTATTTAATTGTATCATTCATATTGCAGATTTCTGTACAGTACTAGCGTTGAGTAGCGTAATCATTTCGAGTAAAAGCATCTGTATTTTTTTACCGACAATCTTTAGTGGATGGTAATATTGACACGCACGCGACATCTATAACTCTTAAATATGCGGTTTCCAAAACGCACATGGAGGTTGTCTCACTATTCTATTCTTTACACTAAGTAGATACTAATTAACTGTTTTTAATTAGCCATTTCAAGCCTTTTATAAATTTATTGTTCATTAATTGTAGATAAATAAGTCTGTAACAGGTGGGCGCTTAGACTTTAAATATTATTTGTCAAATTTACAAAATTGCAGGTACGGGAAATTTTATACGTATGCCGCTTCAGAATCAATATTCAAGAAATAAAGCAGTTTAAGCTAAGAAACAAGTGCTCAAGTAGATAAAAGACGAAACGTCATAGTGTTGTCACGACCTCACATATCTTAACGGTTTCGTTCCGTGTTGCGAAAAGCCGAGCACGTGACAAAAATGTGGGTTTTGTATTGGTTAAAAGGGCACGCTTTCCACAAAAGTTACCTCCAAGACAAAGGGGGTCGTTTCGTATATAAATTCGGCAAGGTATTTAAGCAAATATTTGGTGGGAGAACGGGTTCGTACTAAAAATTCGTCAACGCGAAAGATTTAATAGATCCCGTAAAACTTCAGCTAGTATCTGTAATTATAATTATTGTTTCCCTGGGAATAAATATAAAAATTTACTAGGCTAACTGGTTATATTGCAGTCCCCCTACGGAATTACCAGGTGGTGTTCGAGGGCAGGTTGCACAGGTCTTTTGGACCAGATGGATGGATAAACAGGTAAGCTGCGAAGATAGGGGTTAATTAACCACATCTCTGTTTTAGGCCATGACGACTTAGATAAGAACTTTAGCAAAAGGTGGTCGGCATTCCTACAGTCTTCAAGTAAAATAGTCTTTCCCAATAAAATACAACTGTAACCAGTGTTTGGACTCCCAGCTCAGTAGCGCCTTATTGTTTTCTCTATTCCGGATTTAATTAAGGATAAATATGCCACTGTTTTCACACTAACGATACCTCTCCCCAACTTACGTTAAACTGGATAGTTTCGGGTATTCAGATCCGGACGGAATAGGTTAAGAGGATAAGTCTCGGAGCTCCACTCGCTCTTCTTTCCTATGAAGGTCATACCTCGGTGGGGATATCTTCCAGAGCTGAGAGTAGGGATCGCCACGCATTAATGGGTCATTGCCTTACCATCTCGTAATAAAATTTGACAATTTTACAGGGTTCTTTTTACTGAAATCCCTTACCTTACACTTACACATATATTAGGAAATTCCAGAGTCATCACGGTAAAATTGAAAAATTAATTATCTAAACGCTTTACGTGAATGAGCCATGGCTGTGATCCTCTTGAGGTAATGTTATTTTCCTAGAATTCCTCTTTGTTAACACGTTTCTTTTAGGTTATGGCATATGCTTTAATTTAATTACCTATCTTTGTTTTACTTATATCGTGATGCGAAACCCATTCATTAGTGGGGTACGTAAGTTTTAATTAATAGGAATTGAGTCTGATTTTGACTTTGATTTTGAATATATTTTTCTTTTTAGAAGTACCGCGATTTGGATGAAATGTAAACACTCGCTTTCGAATTGAAGAGGTCTACCTGTCGATTAGCTGGAACTGATCTATTTCTTTGCATCTAAGATCGAAGAATCGCTAAGAAAACATTATCTCAATTACTGGAAATTGCAAACTTGCAGGTAACCTGTTTATAATCGCTTTTGTCGTTAGTTTATCTTGTCGTTTATCTTTACCAATGTCATGAGGAACTGCTCCTAAATTTGTTAAAATTAATTATCTAAGCGTCTTTACGTGAATGGCGCCGGGCTGTAATTCTCTTGCGGTAAAATTATTTTCCTGTAATTCTTCTTTGTTAACACGTTTCCTTTTAGGTTACCCATGGCATATGTTTTAATTTAATTGCTTACATTTGTTTTACCTATATCGGCTATATCGCGATGCGAAACCCATTAACTAATGGGGTACGTAATTAATTGGAATTGGGTCTGATTTTGACATTGATTTTGAATATATTTTTCTTTGTAGAAGTACCGGGTTTTGGATGGAATGCAAACACTCGCTTTCGAAGTGAAGAGGGCTACCTGTCGATTAGCTGGAACTGGTCTATTACATTGTATCTAAGATCGAAGAATCGCTAAGCAAACGTTATCTCAAATACCGGAAATTGCAAACTTGCAGGTAACCTGTTTCTAATCGCTTTTGTCGTTAATTTATCTTGTCGTTTATCTTTACCAGTCATGAGGAACTGCTCCAGATCAAGTTATCCCGACCCCATAAGTGATCAGCTGTGCTGGGCACTTGCATTTAGTTAAGTGTAACCTTGCCCAGAATTGCTAACTTATGTACTGTTTTATGTAATTAAATATGTTTCGCGTACTTTTTATTGAAAACCTTAAGTGGAAAATTCAAATTTTCCCTTACCTTCCACATATATTAGACAATTCCAGAGTCATCGCGCTAAAATTGTTAAAATTAATGATCTAAGCGTCTTTACGTGAATGGAGCCGGGCTGTGATCCTCTTGAGGTAATGTTATTTTCCTATATTTCCTCTATTGTAACACGTTTCTTTTTAGGTTCTGCCATATGTTTTTAATTTAATTACCTACATTTTTTGACCTATATCGCGATGCGAAACCCATTGGTTAATGGGGTACGTACGATTTAATTAAGTGGAATTGGGTTTGATTTTGATGTTGTTTTTGAATATATTTTTCTTTGTAGAAGTACCGTGTTCTGGATGAAATGCAAACACCCGCTTTCAAATTGAAGATGGCTACCTGTCGATTAGCTGGAACTTGTCAATTACATTGCATCTAAGATCGCAGAATCGCTAAGCAAACGTTATCCCAAATACCGGAAATTGTAAACTTGCATGTGACCTGTTGATAATCGCTTTTGTCGTTAGTTTATCTTGTCGTTTATCTCTAGGTACCGAAGTCATGAGAAACTGCTCTAGATTAAGGTAACTGTCGCTATTTGAACGCAACACACATCGTTCCGGTGTCACCCGACCGACGCTTGTAGTGATTTTGACTTTGCGTATTTTTCTAACAGTTAAATCCTCGGTTAAATCCAATAAGCGATTTAGTTAAGTGTATCAATCTACTCGTAAAATTAAAGAACTTTTTAATATTAACAGAAAATTATCGTAAATTGCATTTGGTGGAAGAAAATTATCAAGAAAAATTTGGATTTGCATGTTCTTAAAGAAATCAATTTCTGGGCAAATTGAAACCGTTTGTATTACATGTATTTTGTAATTTTTGAACACATTTGAATTGGATTTGATTAGTTCGTTGAAATTTCAAGAAAGAAAATCCCCAACTGAATGTGTCGATTCTGATTGTCTAAATTGTGTATAAGAAGTGGTGGTGTGTATTGTTTGATATTGAAGTATGGGTAGTTAAAACGATCGGGCCACGAAAAGTATTGTGTTAAAGTTAAAATTCCTAGCGAAAGCTGTAAATAGAAAACTTGTGCAAGGTATTGTAAATTGGAACTATTTGATTAATGATTTTAGTGTCAAAATATTCAAAGCTTTAGAGTAATTTTGCTCTCTTCTCTGTCGGTCTGCCTTTGCGTGTCGTATTTACTGCTACCATTTTCTAAACATTTATTTTGTGCTGTTTGAAGTTGGTAGTTTAGACGTGGAGACCGAGCTAAGACTTTGTTTGGCCCTAACTACGTGGGTTATTATAGAAAATGTCACAATTGTTATTTATAGATGGATTTGGTGGAAAAACATCTAAAAGCTTTGTCGCGTGTCCCCAAAATTAAATTTGACGCACTCGAACCACACGCGCACGTCATTTTTTGAACGCTTTTGATAAGACCTTGCTAAAAAATATCAGAATCAATGTGTTGTGAGTCAAAAAATACTCGATTTTTTATCCTTCTCCAGTGGTTGACCCCCCAGACCCCTCCTTTTCTTGGATTTCTCAGGTTCATATGTTTTTGAGTAATCGTGCGAACGCCCTGCCGGTCTTTTGGATTTGATAACCTACTAGCGCAAGTGTTAGATAATGTATTTACCAATGATAAAGAAATAGCGAACAGTAATTTTCCTCTCCTCATAATAATAAGTATCAATTAATTCACTGGTAAAAATCTTCGATGAGAGATGCAAATAATTGGTTAATTTTTAAATCTTCTTTGTGAATGGGATAAAGCAAATCCATAAGTTAGTACTTTGGCCTTTTTTTGGATAAGCCGATTTCACCAGCTGGTGTTATCTTTAGCAAGTTTATCAAAGATATCTGCTCGGGTTACTCGGTGCTTGTGTTCTTAAAGGTTTTGTTCTTAGAATGGCGAAATTATCCAGCGTGGGTACCGAACGACCTCAATCCATTGTTGTACATGTCTTGTAACACCAGCAATAACTAATTGCACCTCACCTGCCTACTTCGACCAATTATCTTGTCAAAAATCGCGTGTATAATCAGAGGACCAAATAATAAGATTTGATTAAATTTAATTGTTAAAAAAAAGTATAACTAATGAAAGTATGACTGATCGACGTCCTGTCTCGGTTCCAATCCAATCCAGTAGTCGTACTCGCTGCTCATGATGTTATGCCGTTTGCTCTCCACGAAAGGTATCACAGTCTTCTCGGTCGGTACAAACCGGAACCGTAACAAAAAGTGGAACAGCATCAGCCTAATTTCAAGGGAAATTAGACGCGCGGCTGCAAAAAAAAGCGGATTATGGATCGACATCGACCGAAAGGGCCCTACCTATGCACTTCCTTGGACCGGAACTAAACGGTAAGAACGCGCGCTGGTCCACTTTGGCCTTGTTTTCCTCGTTAAACCTCTCGGGATCAAATTTCAGAGGGTTCGGGAAGTATTTCTCATCGCGCATGAAGCAGTAAAGCGGAATCGTTATGTCCTGTCCGGTCGCCAAGTGTAAGGGCTTTTCGTGTGGTAGCACTGGCTGAATGGTGTACGGTTTTGTGACGATGCGATCGACAAACGTCGTGTTGCTACGCAAACGCGAGCACTCTATAAGGCTTCGAATTATCAAAAAAATCGTGAAGAATTGATGTACCTTTGTAAACCATGTCTAAATATTTCATCTGCATCAGAATGTCATGCGTCAGCTTGCCGTCGCAGCTTCTCCACGTCTCGTCAATTTCCACGATCAACTTCTCTTGAACTTCCGGCTGTAACGCCAACTCGTAAATGAAATTGCACATGGTAATGGAAAAGGTATCGAAATTGGAGAAGTACATCCCCATCAACTGCGCCACAATTTCGTCAGTCAGCTCATTGGAATCCTTACGATTGTTGACATCCTTCTTGTTTTCCAACAAACTTTCATGGAGCAAGTGCAGCATGTCGATTCGCGTGATGTTGTGCTTTTGCCGGTATTCCAAAGCGTCCTTAATCAGTTTCCGATAAAAGAGCTTGCCTTCCGTCTCGAAGAATTTGATGCCTAAAATCTGCAAGACATTGGAGAGTGGTGCTCAAACGCTGGCTTTTTTTACCTTTGCCACCGCGCTGTTATAGGCGGCATTGAAGAACAAGAACCCCTTAATTTTGGGCATTGAAAACGTTTTCCTAGCCATCCTCAGAAACTCATTGTTGGGATCCTTGAAGGAGTCGCACTCAATCCCCATGAAGTAGTCCAGGGTGAAGTCGTTGGCAAGCTTCATAACCATGGGGCGTATGTTTCCGCTGACGGTTTTGTTGTGTTCGAGGATGCTTTGGATTAAGCGATTGGTGCTCTTGGCCAAGTTGGGGAACATCACTTTCAGTTTGCTTAGTGTGAAAGCGGGAGTTACAATTCTTCTGTGCTCTTGCCAGTCGGAACCTAGAGGCAATGGAATTATCGACGCAGGTCGCATTGTCGTATAAAACCTGTTCTGATAAAAGTTAGTTTGTCCCATAAGTTATCCACCCCCTTGGGTACGAATAGTCGATGGTCGGAGAAGGAATCAAAGTCCTTGATGGTGATTTGCTTCGCAAGCTCGACGTCACGTATAAATAAGGTCGGTGTGCCAAAGCAATGGAAACCAATGTACCTACAAGGGCCTTTGTCTTCAATCGTCAGGTGATGATCTCTTTTACCTGTGCTTCGAGTACTTATTATACGCGTCCGTCATAACCTGGTTCATTGACTTCCTTTTCAACAGTGACTGCAGCAGGTTCCCGACAAACGGCACTGGAACATCGCAGGGAACTTTTCTCTTCTTCCAGTACTGAATCGGCTGGTAGACCTTCCTGTGGAAGAGGAGCGCGAGAACAACTCCCAAAAGAATCAACCACACGCCCATTTTGTAACAAACTAAAACCAAGAAAAGCACTCCATTCGTCTGTTTACGCGGAGAAAACTGATACTCACCCGGCGATGTCTAAACAGATACTGTTAATTACATCAGATTCTTGTTGGCAGTTTTAATGTTTCGATAGTAACGGATCTCGCGTTAAAAATAGATCCGGTTATCACTTCATTTTCTTGACAACATGCTCGTCGGTGAGTTCGAATTGCAACGTGATCTCAAATGGATTCTTCCATTTTTGGGGTGCCGATTTCGCCTTTTTGTAACTGACGCCCCAAATCACAATGAAAGTGTGACATTTTCGACAACTTACACTATTAACAAACCAATTTCTTCCACTCAACAACACTAATTTGATAATAGACCCTGTTCCAATAATAAAGGAACTAACTAAGTACTGTTAATTGGTGTACCCCCACACTCATCCCCTTGGGTTTACTATTCTATAGGGACCCAATATCTTCTATGATTAGGAAGTCAATGCAAGGGGTACATTGTACTGGAAAACAGAAAAAAATAAATTGTACATCATCCTCAATGTCCGTTTAAGTTACCTTCACGTTTGCATCACTTTCTTCATAGGAGGAAGGACCCAAATCAAGACTAGCATAGGAGGATCACTAACGGTTGTAGGATGCCTCATCCCCTCTGACAAAAGCGGACAAGCGGAACTCAGGAATCTGGGCGAAATTATAGAACCAAAGAGCGAAAGATACCCGGGCATCCAACTAGACTAGGGTGGACTAGAAATGGAAGGGAAGGGGAGGAATAAAGGATAGGCAAAATGCTCATGAACGAGCAAGAGAACATGAATGACAGCGAGCTAACATGGTACATCCACATGGACTAAGAGGGTGGAAACACATTCAGCAAATCCAAAACGATGCTGACAACATGCGGGAGAGGAAATCACAGATTGGCCACATAGTAAGGACCAAATCAAAGAAAATAATCATTACTAACACATTAGGAGTATGGGTCGGAATAGTAGGATCGGACTAGAAAATGGTAAGGGGGAAAGGGGGGGGGGGGGTGATGAAGAAGGAAAGAACAGAGAGCAAAGCGGGAGAACTGAATGGTGGGGTGTGGAACTTCTGACAGGGAAGCAGAAAATGGAGGAGTACCTATACAGAGGAGCAGGACGAGATCAGGAACAGAAAGGGGGAAGGGAGACCATCTTGGAACAGGATCGCCGAAACGCTCAAGGAAGTAGCAGGGAAAACACTTGTGGGACATAAACCGCCCATGTCACCAAATAGCAAACCATGGACACCCACAGCAGAGGCACTGAAGAGGTTTAGGCAAAACCCACACAAACCTGAAGTAAAGAAAGAGCTAAGGGAGGCCAGAAAGGAGAAAAACAGAGCCTTTAAACAATGACATCAAGAAATTCGCACAGAACATCGTCAAGTTTAGCCCAATGGAGAGGAATGCGCAAACAGAAGGAGGAAACAAGGGGGAACCAAAAAATATGTACCAATGACAGCATGGCAGAAACTCCTGAAGGAGGAACAAGAAGCAAGGGTTCAGCTAAAGGAGGAGAATGATTACTGACCACTCCTACGATGGAAGAAATGATGTAGATACTAGGAAGACTAAAGGAAAATGCCAGGGCAGGATAGGCTCCAGGCCGAATTGCCACAATACGCATCAGAATGGCTATTAAAGGACCTACATGAATTAATTCAGTAGGTATGGACTAGGGACTTGGTCCCCAAAGAATGACAGCGGACAGTGCAGGTCCCCATCCCAAAGGACACCACAAGGAACAGACGATTACTCGTCGCTATGTAGTGGGGGATACAAGATATACGCAACCTACCTAATACAGTGCGAAGAGAGCCACACATCCAAGACACCAGTATACCGAGTAGGTCAACGGAAGACCATATATACACGACCAGGAGGATTCTAGACGAACACTTGAGGACAGGAACCAAAATATAGCTTCTAGCAATAGACCTGGCGAAGGTCTTCGACCAAGTGAAGCATGAAGCCGTTTCTCTGACGCTGCTGGACCTCCCAAAATTCCTGATCAATAGAGCCTAAGGGAGTATACTAGTATACCGTGGTTTGGGAAGAAGACCGAGCGCCAAATGAAAACCAGAGGAATCAAACAAGAATGTACGTTGTCCCCAAGGCTCTTCGCGATAGCGCTGGAAACGTTCATAGAGCAAACAAGAAGGACGGTGAGGAACTTTAGCACATATGCCCACCACATTGTTTGACAAATGTCGCGGCCCAGCGTAATGGCAACAAAAGTGGTGGAGATGCACCCCCGTTAGTTTGTACCAGGGACATATCCAATTCACAATTCACTAGATTCTGAGGGAGGAGGCTACGCCGGGCATATGCCCAAAACATCAAGTATCCTTCTTAGGTCCCAAGTATATTTCAAGTCCTTCCCAATTTTCTTGCAGGTTTTTTTCAAATTCTGGCAATATCCCCTTCATCCTCTGAATTTTCGCTGAAATGGACTGTATCTTTCATGTTAATTTGAAGTTAGTTACTCTTAAGATCCTCTAGAAGTCTTCTCTACCAATTCATCAACTTCAACGGATATTCCCTAAATACGAATCAGAGTTCCAAGGGATCCAAGACAACTAAAATCGCAACTTATTCACAAATATTTATGTTGTTGCATGAAATCGTAATTTGTATCACGTGATACCAACTACAACAAAAAAATTCTCCGAGGTTTTAGGAGTAGCTGGTACCATTGTGATATACAAGATATGACTTTTGCTCTTGTAGTTGAAATGAAAGGTTTGATTTTTGCGAAAATTGTTTAAATTAATTATCTAAGCGTCTTTACGTAAATAGGGATTGGTTGTATCCTCTTGAGGTGAATGAATTTTCATAAGATTCCTTTTTTATTAACACGACTCTTTTTAGGTTATGCCGTATGTTTGAATTTAATTATCTATCTTTCTTTGACCTACGTCGCAATCCGAAACCCACTTATTAATGGGGTACGTAATTTTGAAATAACTGGATTTGGGTCTGATTTTGGCATTGTAGTTTTTGGGTCTATCTTTCGTGTAACGAGCATTAGCCTATGATTGATATGCCTGCTTGGCTGGAACTCATCACCACTTGGTATTTACGATCAAACGTTCTGCAATGCAATGTGGAAAAAGCTGCGAAAGTGCAGATAAACTGTAATAGCTCTGGTGTCTTTTCCGTTGCTGTACATTTTTGATACAGCAATTTATTACATGAAATATAAAAGTTACTAATGTCCAATCAACCGTAAGTTGTCTTTTAATTTAGCTTTTGCCTTGTCGTTGCTGATATATGTGTTAAATAGGGGAGGAACGGGCGCCGTGGTCATTAGCCGTTCGCATTTGGCTTGTTCGTCGTTGCCACGCTTTAGTAGTTGAGTAGACTCGGACCCGAGGAGTGGAGTGGAGTGGAGAAGTAATTCAAATTAGTGTTTGCGTTCGTAGGTGTGTCGGTTAATAAGCATCGCATTGTAAGATTTGAATTATTGCCACTAGAAGGTAATTAAAACTTTATTGAGCCTGTTTTGATCGAGCGCTCGTAGCATGGTATTTGTCGCTAGCACTGCCGCCACTTTTTATTATTACAGCAATTATCGAATAAATTTGTGTTGTGTGTAAATGAACAGTTTGGTATCAGATTGGGCCTCAGTTACGATCCTGGATTTTTAAATACAACGAGTAGGTAGAGTTCGCGCTGTGTTTCCTCAAATCCGCCGCATAAATGGCTAACTAGCTCAGGGTTAAGCTTACAGAAGAAAGAGGAACACGTTTTCCGTTAAACGAAAAGCACGGCGCCGGCAAAATGCGCGCTAAAATTGAGTAGTTAGGTGGTTAATTAAAACTAGATTTTGAACTAACACTAGAAACTTGGCCGGGTCCTTAAACTGGTACCATAAATTGAAACCCTAAAAGGAAATCAAAGGTAACCCCTCTTTCTTGATAAGCTAAAATGTATATACCTCTTAAATAAGAGTGCTAATTGTAGATGGAAACTAGAAATATCAGCCGAAATCTAAGGAAAGATTGGCTTCAAGTACATTAAAGGCATATGGCGGTACTTGCCAAGAAGAAGCTAAAAATGCAATTATATCCTCCTCACATAGTTATTGGCGAATCCGTGTACCACAGCGGCAACCCATCAAATGAATTGCCAGAGGCCAATAAAATATGGATGGTGGCAATTAAAATTCCATGCGTTCTCAACTAACGCTTCAACTGTTTAATTAAAATGAAGTGAACTCTGTTACAGCTTACAGAAGAAAGAGAAAGACGAAAAGCACGGCGCCGCGATAAAATTGAGTAGTTCAAATTTCAACATGGGATACTAAACTGTTTCCTACAAGGTACGAGGATCTTTCAACGAAACATACCGTGAACAATAATAATGCTTGTAATGAAGAAAATAAACGTTTAGGTACAGTTATTTGTTTTTGTGAGTGACTTTATTTAATTGATCTAGCTGCAGATGTGTTTTGTGGTGCCATTGCACACAGTATGAATTTTTGGTACCCAACGTGAGGTTGTTACATGTTACATGTAATTCGGTACATTTGTGGGAAGTTTGTTGACGTTTACTCTTTCCTATGTTTATTTATATTGTTTGTAAGCATATTTTACAGTCAATTAAATATTATTATTATTATTGTTACCAAAGGTGAACGATAAATCACTTCCTCTTCATATTTCCCTCTCTTCCCTCATCTTCATTGCAATTCCCAATTCCTTTGTTAAAATAAATAAAAATCTCTTATCTAAACGCACACCTGCGACAAACGTATGTTTACGCATTTTATTAACTATTAGCGATAAGCGCAACTCTTATCTATGATTGGAGAAAAATAGGGGCATCAAGATTCAAAACTGAAAATATGTTAAATAACCATCCCTGAACAATAACAATAACCCCACTTTTACCAACTTGTCGACTGAGCTATAAAAATACTATTTTAATTGTCTTTCTACTACTTTTGACCTTAAATAAGAGTCTTGTGATTTTGATAAAATTCGAAACGAAATGATCATTATCCAATTAAAAGGTACGCTACGATCGTAATTAAATCATAAGCAATAAAGCAATTAGAAAAATGGCATGATTCAATAACTACAACCTTCTGAGTGGTGAAACAGTATCGTCACATATATCGGCTTTTAGTGTTTGGTAACTGCTCAAACAAACAAAATTAAATTACGGTTCCCGTAATTCGCCTTCTATTTATCCGGTTGATTGGTTTCCATAAAATTAGGGGAAAACTTTACAAAGTATTGTAGCGTGTCATCATCAATCTTTCAATCTTACAAAGTACGTGAGGTTTAATGTTTTTCTTACGTAAAAGTTTAAAGAAATCAATGATATCAGAACGTCTGGGTATCCGAGACGGCGTTAAGTTTCTAATTACATTGACATTAAATTGACTTTTTGCTCGATTAAACAAACGTAGACGTTCCGAGTTTTCTGACACTTATTTAGTTGGGCCTACTAAGCATACCCTAAACTAACGACATCACCTTTACACTCACCCGATGGCACGAAATCGCCGTCGGCAACGAAATCACTGACCGGCCATTTTTTGGGCCAGATTTTATTGACTTTATATGCCACTTTATGTTTCCCTGTCACCAAACCTGGATACCTAGGAGTTGGCTAATGTGAGGCCGGATGTAGCGAGGTACGCCCACTTATTTTTGGTTGACTGAGAGCCTTTTCGGTCTACTACGAGCGAACGTATAAATGTCAGTACTCGGCACCTATTGGCCACGGAAACGTCGACTGGTATTAGGGGTTGAAATAGCCTGTGGTTTACAAATCCAAAGTTTGAGGCAATATTGATTCATACTTCTTAATTATAGGCACAATTTTTCGAGGCAGTAAACACTTTACAACTCCTCTCAACCAGTGCAAACGTCCCTGTCCAACACCCTGTTGCATTTATGTAGATCAGACCACACAAAGGGTGCTACTTACAAATTAATGTGTATTAAATTCAGTTTAATAGTAAATAAGGATATTTAGAAATAAAAAAAGACAATGTTGCACATTTACCAACTTTAACATTTTAGGAAATGAGTTTTTCAGCTCATTTGTGCCAAAGAACTTAAAAAAATACAAACTAAAGTTTGGTAGCGGAATTAACTAGCTACTTCAAAGCGGATACGAGCCTCCAGAAGTCGAAGCCCCTCCAGAACCAATCAAATCATCTCCCTTTCTCCAAGTGAAGGAGAACAGATAAAATCGACCGCCCAAGGATATTTTCGTAATCTATTGTATCTTGTGGGATTCATATCAGAGCCGACGGATCAGGAATCTTACACACGAGCGCGATCCACATCCACTACATCCGAGATTTTCTGCTCATGTGGCACTATGGTGTAATGTAAACGGTGCTCCGAATGGTTCCACGGGGCCTGCCTCAACTTAACAAATGACGATACCGATGCTTTGAGCGCCACCGATTACACTTGGCTTTGAAACCCAGGCGAACCCATCCAAAAGAAGACAATACTTCACAATCCATGGGCTCATCACAGGTCGATCGGCCGCCTGGTCCCCTTCGCCTGTCTTGTAAATGGAAAACATTTAAAGACACGGGTCAATCCAAACACACCTACTACGAGAAGCCTTGCTCAGAAACTACAAATCCACCGTAAAGACATCAGGATCGTCCGCAGGTAGCTAACAGATTGAGCTACTCCTTTTCACATTCAAATCTTTTAATGTGGAGGCTCAGAAAACCCTAATCACAAAAATAAAAAAAATATCCATCAGTTCGTAATCAGTAATGGTATTTCTTGCAAGAAACATTTCACTTCGACTGCATGCAGAACTTGGAATGGTTTGATGTCGAAAATCCCGATGACTCTCTTTTTATTTTACCACATATTTGCATGGTTAGTTTATAACTGTTGAATTAGCACAAATAAAAACCGTAATTTAAAAAAAAAACTTTACAATTGAGTATACCCAACCGCAATTTGTACCTTTTTCCTATATTTTTACTCCACGGATACGTTCTATTCGCTCCTTAAATTGCACGTTTCGACGAAGTAAGATACTGTACAAAGGAGTCTTACTGGCCGACCTCCCGAGCGCTTTCTTTACAAGTTAATTATCCACTCCGCTTTTTATTTATTATTTTCTAGAAACTATAACGAAACGGGTCCAAGCATTTCATTTGTTTATCAATGGTCCAGGCAGTAAAGTGTTTTTTCTATATTAATGCTTTTGCTGAACAAACCAATTCTGTGTATTTAGTCACGGCCTACAATAATTACTATTATTTATCGTATGGGGGCTGCGCCAAACCCCACCGTCCGTTTAAACGTACGTTTCTTGTTTTCAATTTACAATGAAACGGGGACGCGTATTGCTCACAGTGAATATCTAATAGAACCACTACGAATTTGGTCATTCAAGTTTTTTCCCTTAATTATTAATTAATGGTTATCTATCCAGTAGGATCACTTCACTTGAAATTGTATTGTTAAGAATTTTTATACGAATTTTGAAAATTGATATTTCTTTGGTAACGAATTGACATACAAACGTTTGGCAGTAGAAACTGTATGGAATGTAACACTCTGCAAAAAATAGGGATGCTTTTGATATTACTATTAATGCCGTCGGCGACTTGAAAAAAAGTTACAATTTTAACCGGGATGGACATTTTATTAGCAATCCAGCCACTTATTCAAACAAGAACGCTTCAAACAAAATTTCTCGTATGTATTTTACGACCGCTACATTTGAGATCAGCACTTTCATTACTCATGATAGTCTAACCGTTCCTCACGTTTTGCTGTGTCGAGATTGTTTTAGAAAATATCATTTCCTTGCGAGAGTGAACTATATCGAATTTCGCGAGCAACCAATTTTCTCGAATGCCTTATTTGTTTCAGGTCGGTGTACGAGTATGGGAAGTTTTGATCTAAAAACTGCATTAACTCTGTTTGGTTTAGTGTCAAGTTGTTTGCATACTTTCCCAAAAGAATGAGAAGAGTAGAAAGGGGGACACTTTGCCATGCCAACTGGTAAAAGGTTCCCTGCAACAACAGTTGCTTATAACACAATCACATATAGAAAATACGACATAAAGCTCGGAATATGCACTTGCGTTATCGATTTCCACCGCTTGCGTACTTGCCACCCGAGGAGGTACTCACCATTATGACGCGCAACACCCAAATCTTGTAAAAGGGTTGCGGCGAGATCAGCCTTTTGACGTGCCGGTTCAAAACGTGCCGTTTCGAGCGGTACACTCAGCGATCGAAACTTTTCAGTTATGCAAAGCGATCCCAGACTTCGCGTCGCTACGTCGTGAATCACTTGAAGGCTCGAATCGATGCTGTCCTGTAAACAAAGTTATTAATTACCACCCATTGTATTGCGACGCGTGCCAAGTTTTTCCGTCTGTGAGACGCTTTCAGTTCAATTTCCTTCTGTTGGCGATCGTTCGCGTGTTAGGGGAAGCGTACATCATCACGTTACCGATAATTGGTAATTGAGTATGAAATACAGTTTAATTTACTCTTACATATCGAATTTCCAATTCGATTTGTAGGGTAGTTTGCGCTAGATTTCCCCGTGGGCTAGATTTTCCAATTCTCTTGTGTGTGTTCAGCTAGATGAACAGATTCTCGCACGTGCCGATTATATAAACACAGATTTAATTCATAATTCACTTTTTTTGACAGCAAAAAATGGTCCTTCAAGCCTGATACGAGATTTTTTACTAACATTATACTCTACATACAGAGATACAAAAAATGAACAATTCATTTTAGTATTTTTAAAATTGTTCATTAGATAACAGCTCATATGAGCTTTACGTAGCCGTATGGGGCTGTAAAGTTCAGCGTTCAGCTTTTGTGCGCCATAATTTTGAATTTTGAAAGTTTAGTTCGTGAAATAATAAAAGTTTGAAATAATTCTTCGATTTCCGGTTTAAAAAATATCATTTAATCTTAATACCTAAGGCAATAACAATTTATTCTTTAGAGTGGTGAAAGGTAACATTTTGGTGTCTGGTAGTGGGATACTGTCGAACAATTGAAAAAAGACGTCATCAAAACCATATTTTGTTCACTAGCATGCACCAGTTGTCAAGGACAGTCGTGCTCTAACTTTGAATCTCCAACAGAAGAAGACGACGACGACGACGACGAAACAGCTGTATGACAAATTACGGCAACTCGGTAAAAAGACGAAGAAAGAGAAAAAAGAATATGGAGAAAGAGAAGGCGAAGAAGACGAAAATATTGAATGAGAGGACCTTTTATTCTACTAGGATTAAACAAAATAGACAGTGGAGTAGGCCTACTGGGGAAACCACGTTAAAAAAAGCATGAAGTACACTACCTTACAGGTGGTGTGGAAACGTGTGCATAGTATCAGAAGGGAATACTTTAAACAATTTTGGAATCGCTTTTTTTCAGAAAAATTTTTAGGGAAAAAAAGTGTAAGGACAGATAATTGCATGATATACAATTTTTATCAGAACTATTCTTATGATAAAACTAACCGTTTCCCTAGAAAATCTAAAAAAAGCCATTTTTGCGAACTTTGACATTGAAGAAAAAGAAAAAAGTAGGAACATTGCTCAAGAAAACAATTTGTGTTTTCTTTGTCTTCAATCAGGCCATTAGTCAAGTAAGTGTCCTTGCCAAAACCGGAAATGCAAGATGGATCTTCATTTGAAAAATTGACCAGCCTTCAGGAATAAAGGGAAAACTGAATCAAGTGAAAGCGAACGTTCTTATTCAATTGCAAATGTTCAAAAGACAAGTAATCGACCTGCTCCTAACTCGAAAAGGAAGAAGGTTCAATCACAACTTAATTGATTCATCAGATAATTTGCCGATCTTCGACAAAGGACCAAAAGGATATGAAGCTGTTAATGTTCTCTTCGATAGCGCTATATCAATTTAACATAATAGAAGAAGACGTAGCTCCGACTTGGCCCAAGTGGAAAGCATTTTTATAAACACTTATATAGGGGTGTTTTTAACTCTCTTAGCGTAATTATTTAAAAAACAGAAATATTTGATGCGCCTATAAAAATGACAACCCTTACACTGGACAACTCCCAAGAAAGATTACATTTTTAACTAAAATAATCGTAATTTACAAACGACTAGGGGCTGCATTTTTATAAACACTTATATAGGGGTGTTGCTAACCCTTTTAGCGTAATTATTTAAAAAAACAGAAATATTTGATGCGCCTTTAAAAATGACAACCCTAACACTGGACAACTGCCAAGAAAAATTGCATTTTGAACTTAAAAAATTCTTAATTTACAAACGACTATGGGTGCATTTTTATATATGGGTGTTGTTAACCCTTTTAGCGTAATTATTTAAAAAAACACAAATATTTGACGCGTCTTTAAAAATGACAACTCTAACACTGGACACTGCCAAGAAAGGTTGCATTTTTAAATTAAAAAATTGGTAATTTACAAACGACCAGGGGTTGCATTTTTATAAACACTTATATATGGGTGTTGTTAACCCTCTTAGCGTAATTATTAAAAAAACAGAAATATTTGATGCTCCTTTAAAAATGACAACCTTTACACTGAACAACTGCCAAGAAAAATTGCATTTTTGACTTAAAAAATTGGTAATTTACAAACGACCAGGGGTTGTATTTTTATAAACACTTATATAGGGGTTTTGTTAACCATCTTAGCGTAATTAATTAAAAAAACAGAAATATTGGATGCTCCTTTAAAAATGACAACCCTTACACTGGACAACTGCCAAGAAAGATTGCATTTTTAACTTAAAAAATTCGTAATTCACAAACGACCAGGGGTTGCATTTTTATAAACACTTACATATGGGTGTTGTTAACCCTCTTAGCGTAATTATTTAAAAAAACAGAAATATTTGATGCTTCTTTAAAAATGACAACCCTAACACTGGACAACTGCCAAGAAAAATTGCATTTTTGACTTAAAAAATTCGTATTTCATAAACGACCAGAGGTTGCATTTTTATAAACATTTATATATGGATGTTGTTAACCCTCTTAGCGTAATTAATAAAAAAACAGAAATATTGGATGCTCCTTTAAAAATGACAACCCTTACATTGGACAACTGCCAAGAAAGATTGAATTTTTAAATTGAAAAATTGGTAATTTACAAACGACCAGGGGTTGCATTTTTATAAACACTTATATAGGGGTTTTGTTAACCCTCTTAGCGTAATTATTTAAAAAAACAGAAATATTTGATGCGCCTTTAAAAATGACAACCCTAACACTGGACAACTGCCAAGAAAAATTGCATTTTGAACTTAAAAAATTCTTAATTTACAAACGACTATGGGTGCATTTTTATATATGGGTGTTGTTAACCCTTTTAGCGTAATTATTTAAAAAAACACAAATATTTGACGCGTCTTTAAAAATGACAACTCTAACACTGGACACTGCCAAGAAAGGTTGCATTTTTAAATTAAAAAATTGGTAATTTACAAACGACCAGGGGTTGCATTTTTATAAACACTTATATATGGGTGTTGTTAACCCTCTTAGCGTAATTATTAAAAAAACAGAAATATTTGATGCTCCTTTAAAAATGACAACCTTTACACTGAACAACTGCCAAGAAAAATTGCATTTTTGACTTAAAAAATTGGTAATTTACAAACGACCAGAGGTTGCATTTTTATAAACATTTATATATGGATGTTGTTAACCCTCTTAGCGTAATTAATAAAAAAACAGAAATATTGGATGCTCCTTTAAAAATGACAACCCTTACACTGGACAACTGCCAAGAAAAATTGCATATTTAACTTAAAAAATTCGTAATTTACAAACGACCAGGTCTTGCATTTTTATAAACACTTATATATGGATGTTGTTAACCCTCTTAGCGTAATTATTAAAAAAACAGAAATTTTTGAAGCTCCTTTAAAAATGACAACCCTTACACTGGACATTGGACAACTGCCAAGAAAGATTGCATTTTTAAATTAAAAAATTGGTAATTTACAAACGACCAGGGGTTGCATTTTTATAAACACTTATATATGGGTGTTGTTAACCCTCTTAGCGTAATTATTAAAAAAACAGAAATATTGGATGCTCCTTTAAAAATGACAACCCTTACACTGGACAACTGCCAAGAAAAATTGCATATTTAACTTAAAAAATTCGTAATTTACAAACGACCAGGTCTTGCATTTTTATAAACACTTATATATGGATGTTGTTAACCCTCTTAGCGTAATTATTAAAAAAACAGAAATTTTTGAAGCTCCTTTAAAAATGACAACCCTTACACTGGACATTGGACAACTGCCAAGAAAGATTGCATTTTTAAATTAAAAAATTGGTAATTTACAAACGACCAGGGGTTGCATTTTTATAAACAGTAATGTAGGGTTGTTGTTAACACTTATAGCTTAATTATTTAAAAAAAAACAGAAATATTTGATGCGCCTTTAAAAATGACAACCCTAACTCTGTACAACTGCCAAGAAAGATTGCATTATTTAAGAGCTCCTGGAAGCACAGCCAGTTCACAGACAAAGCGCGAGCTGATGTAATAATAGAACATTCAAAACGATCCGTGAGCGTGACCATTATCATTGAATAAGTTACTTATTCAATGCTATTATTTAGCTGGTCCCGTAAATTTCGTAATGAAATTTATCCCCACTTATGCTAACAGTGAATCGGGCATCAATTAACAACGAACCCCATTACAGAGCTGATTTGTCCGTTGGCCCTCTCCAAACTCGAAGTTCCTCCAATATTAATTCCATTAAGAAGCGCGGTAGAAAGCTTAATTATTTCGCAAAACGAACTTAATACACGAGAACAATTACGAAACTCCCTGGGATTATTCATCCTTCACCGATTTTCACCTGAAGTATTCCGCTCCTTGACAACAAAGGCGAGTTGAGTGGCCGCAACAGGTGAGAAAAAAGCGAAAATTTGATAGGGGAATGTGAAAACGTTTTGATATCACCCTCGAGAAATTTTATCACGGCGCATTTCAATTGTTTCAACTGCAGTAGGGTTGAAGTAATTACCCGTTTACAATGTACCAGTTTCTGCTACAAGCAGATATCGCTGTTACTTATTGATTTTAACATTGCAATCTCGTGCTCGATTTCGGGGTGCAACGATGCGGCTGTAACTGTTTCCCTACTCCATTGGAATTTATACGAAGAACGTAGGGTTCACTTTAATACTTAATTGGGAGTACAAAGCGAACTTCTATGATTAGTTAGAAAATGCGAACGATCTCGAAGCACCGCAAATGGCGCCAAATATCGGCATTTCCCGATTGCACGATTAGGTTTGATACGTGTGCCAATTTCGATGTT